TTTGCCGATTTGTCACAAACGATTGGACTAAAATATTTTACATCATTGTAATCGGAATAAGATATTCTATTAAACACAATATATAATATACATGGTGTTTCATTTAAAAAGATATGATGTAGGCTTATATGTCAGAAAATTGATAGTGTTTTATGGCCACTAATCCTACATTTTGTTTTTTTTTTCGTTTACTTTCATATCTCTAAGAACAAAAAAGTTACAGCCAATTAAAATGTAATCAAGATAAATTGAACGGACGGTACACCGAGAGAAAAGTTGCGTTGCCTTTTCTTGCGCGTAATTGTAATCGTTTTTAAAGGGTGCTCCAAAAATTGTCGTCTTTAGAAAAATTCGCAATTCTTGTCCGTCTTAACAATAAACATTCAAAAAACAATCGTAACCCTTATACAAGCCATACAATTATAATATAGAACGGTTTTCTTTATCAAAAATAAATATTTTTAACCTTTTTTTGTAATTAAGTAAGGATTATTCCTTTAAAAATTTAATTTCTTCATCCACGACACTCTCATGCATTTGTAGACGGCCGATGCGCCTAGCAATTAGTTTTTTCACAGTTAACGAGGTTAAGATACTACTTTCAACATATTTCATTACTTATGGGGTCCATTGTTAGTAGAGTTGTAGAATTGACCGGTCAATTTTTTTTTGTGTCAATTGACTGAAATAATTTTAATAATGCAAAGAAATTTATATTTTTATTGTGATTCTGCGAATCACGGTTAAAGAGGGTTATACGTAAATTGAACATCACAAACGCATAATAATTTCTTATAAAATACATAGTATTATTGAATATTGGTAGAGAACACTCTACAATTGTTATTTAAGACATTTTGATCGAATTGAGACGTGCGACAGGAAATGTGGAAAGATCAATACACATAAGCCAATTAAGAAGTGGTCAATTGACAGGCAACACCAATCGTTAGTAACCCTAAACCCTCAGCTGTGAGATCGTTCTTGTTGTCAACTGCAAAAATGGCGGCAAATTCAAATCTTGCCCTATATATATATATAGTTGCGCGACCTTTGCATGAAATGGAACCCTCCTCCCCCCTCCATCACGTCACCGGCGAGATTTTAAAAACCCATAAATAGCGGGAAAATGTAAGGGCCACCACAGCACGGCAACGATCGCGCCCTATAAATTTATTACGATTTTTTACGGTGTCGTGCGGGGTTGGTATTGATCCGGTTGTCCGTTATATAATGAGAATCGCCGTGATAAGCGAGGCGAGAGCGAAAGATTTTTTTGTGCAGACTCCGCATCTGATTTTCTCGCCTATTTCGAATGCAGTTTCGTTAAGCTCCCAACCATCAGTCAACTGGATCTAAACTTTATAAATTTTACAATAGAAAAAGACCGCTAGGGACTCTTCTCGTTTTTATACAAATGGGGGTTCTTAAAGAAAAGCTGGGTTTTTCACTTAAAATTCCGCACGCCAATAAGTCCAAAACGAAAAGAAATATTTAATTTATGTAAAAAATAGTCAAAGTGTGGGGTCAAATAGATATTTCCTAAAGTTTAAAAAATTCGACGCCTGCAAAGAGCTGGGCGTCGCGACGCGTCGAAAAATTATTCGATTGCAGAGACTTTGGAAATACGCGCATACAAAAGTACATATTATTTAAAAACTTTTTTGTTATTTACTCAAACTTATTTACTTTACCCGTTTCTAAGTTATACCGATTTAAAGTAAACATTTCTTGATTAATAAAAAATGTGATTAACGCTTATTTTTACAAGTATGTCATGAATCATGTATCAAAAAATTGTCACATTTTGTCACAAGAAATATCCAAATTTGTTCGGTTTAAAAAAAACTAAGAATTATTATGTGAAAATGGTGCATTTTAGCAATGAGGAAAAAGTAGACATGTTACTGGTGTTTGGAGAATGCAGATGCAATTGTAGAGAAGCAAAAAGAGTTTACGCACGGCGTTATCCGCATAGAAGAGTCCCCGATGCAAAAACCTTTTCAAGTTTATGTAAAAACTTAAGAGAATATGGCAGCTTCATAAAACCTAAAAGAGATAGGAACAGGACGGCTACAAATGATTAAAATACTGCTGCTGTAATTCAGCAGGTTGATAATAACCCCAAGATATCCCTATCAGAGATAAAAGAAAATACCGGTGTTATCATAAGTTCTTCGTGGAGAATTCTACATAGAAACTCTTTTCACCCGTACAAAAGTAAACTAGTTCATAAACTAGAACCAGGCGATTATGCTAGAAGAATGTATTTCTTAGTGACATTGTCCGATTTGTATAGCCAAGATGCAAATTTTCTCTCGAAAATTTTATGGAGCGACGAAAGTCGATTTCAAAATAATGGAATCGTTAATGGACACAACTGTCGTTTTTGGTCCGAAAACCATCCTCGTTGGATTACAGAACGAGGTAACCAACGAATTTTTAGTATCAACGTTTGGTGCGGCATATTAAATGGATTCCTTATTGGACCTTACTTTTACGAAGGAACTTTAAATGCAGATCGCTATTTAAGATTTCTTCAAACTACACTTCCGGAACTATTAGAAGAAGTGCCTCTTGACACTAGAATGAATATGTGGCTACAGCAGGATGGAGCGCCTGCACATAATGCCCAAATAGTAACGAGGTATTTGAACCGAGAATATCTCAATAGATGGTTTGGTACTAATGGACCGGTAAGGTGGCCGGCGAGGTCCCCGGACATTACACCACCAGATTATTTTCTTTGGGGCTACCTAAAAAACGTTATCTATGAAGAATCTATCGAAGATATGGCTGATCTCATTAACAAAATTAGTGCAGCGTGTGCCGCTATCACAAGAAGGAGGACTCTCCTACAAGTGACCCAAGCTCATCTGTTAAAAGTTTTTGATAGTTTTGTTCGAGCAGATGGACATAATTTTGAACAAATTTTGGTTATTGTAACTTGTAGGTATTTTACTGTTTTTTCATTTATTTATCATGTTATCAGGACTAAATCGATAAAAAATAATAAATAAAATCATACTAAAATAGTTGAAATCTATTGTTTGTAATTGCACTTAAAACAACTGCGATAACAATGGTTACCATAGTAACTAACATTAATGGCATACTTGTAAAAATAAGCGTTAATCACATTTTTTATTAATCAAGAAATGTTTACTTTAAATCGGTATAACTTAGAAACGGGTAAAGTAAATAAGTTTGAGTAAATAACAAAAAAGTTTTTAAATAATATGTACTTTTGTATGCGCGTATTTCCAAAGTCTCTGCAATTGAATAATTTTTCGACGCGTCGCGACGCCCAGTTCTTTGCAGGCGTCGAATTTTTTAAACTTTAGGAAATATCTACTTGACCCCACACTTTGACTACTTTTTACATAAATTAAATATTTCTTTTCGTTTTGGAGTTATTGGCGTGCGGAGTTTTAAGTGAAAAACTCTGTATATTGACATATTTCAGAAATTAACAAATTAATCTTACTAATCATGTTTTTGATTATTTATCTGTTTCGGGTCATCTCAGCAACAGCGTGAAAATGATTGGTGCTAAAGTGAGGAAAATTGGGTAGTTCAAGATGGCGATATTATTACAGTATAGTACTATTTAATTAAATAATGAGTAAATTTGGTACTTGGTACTACAGCAGTTGAAGTGAAATCGCTGTATATCAATTGCCTTGAGTACATGCCATCCTATCTTTTTTTGATATAAGTCAGTTGGTGTGTTAATTAATAAATGTTACTGAGTAATATCCTCCTATCATATCAAATAATTAATATGCGGCAATTGTTGGTTAAGTTAGGAAGTATAATTCCAATTTTGCCTTTTGGGATATGTTCTTGTTATCTATTTACAATAAAGTTATATTATTATAAATTCAAAATATTTAAGTTTTAAAAATTTATTGGTCAGAAAACAGCAGTTTGTATTTTTTCAGGTGTATTGTCGACTTCTGAACCTGTCAAGTGTGTCCTGTAGATTTTCCGAAGGCTGTCTCTGGTCTGTCTTTTATTTTGATCTGCTTTTGCGTGAAATAATAGGTTTTTTTTCATTATAGTTTTTATATTCTAACTAGACGCTTTATTTTTTTTTTTAATTAAAATTTTCTTTTTAAATGGATTTTCATCAACTAAAAGCCATCCCAGTTCAATTATTGAATTAAGCTGAAAATATTTCTTAAACTATTACTATCATGTCAAGAAATTTTTGTTTAAAACAACAGGGTATATTTTTTGTGGTAAATGGATTTTCTTCAACTAAAAGCCACCTCAGTTTATTTCTTTTGAAATTTTGATCATGTCATTTATGATTTTTTTTTATTCCATGGTGTTCCTAACATCAAATGCTTCGTTTCATTATAAACAAGCAATATAAAATATGTCTTATTTTCCCAAATATTTGCATTTTCGTTCGCATTGGTTATACGTTGGTTACAATTAGTAAAATATGATTTAAAGATCCGTTATTTCGTGGAAACCGCAAATGGCAAAAATATAGATAATCAGTTTTTAAAAAGGGCCAATTTGTCTTGTCTATGTAACCAGCTGTCAAAAATCAAAACCGCGCAACATTTTTTACATTTTTAACAAAAACATTTTTTTTTCTATGGCCAACTGTTTCCAAGATATAAACCGGGGGCACATCACTATTGGGCGCCTTGTATATAACATAACCGCAACCATATGCAATACAAGAATTGACGATTTTAAATAAATAAAATTATAATAAATATTTAATAAATAAATAATTAATTTACGTCGTGACCACTTGGGCTTGAAGGAAAGGAACACCTGTTACTACCCGTCTCCCTCTAAATTAAATTTGCCTCACAAAGTTCATATTGGCTACATTATAGTGCGCTGCATAATCAGATTTATGTATGTATTGTATTTTCTATTGTCCCGTGCTGTGTCCGACATTTTTGTTTACCGGTTCAAACAATTGGCGTCTAATGATCAGTTTTTCCCAATACTAATTCCGCACTTTGACGCAGGAACAAGCGCTGGACGCCAAGCAGCAGGCGCAGTCGCCCGAAGACACCGAGGACTTGTCGCCCTTGCCGGCGCATGCGCAGGGCCCCGTCCGGAGACGGGGCGGCATCTCCGCCGAACCGGTAACGGAAGAGGATGCGACCAGTTACGTCAAAAAGGTATATGTGCAATCACATCGATCGTTTTTTACTCGGGCAAAGAATAAGTACAACAAAAATATTCCTCGCTAAGTATAACAGCGCCCTCTGGAATATATTTGTTCGTTTTAAAGTGATCGCGCCCCGTATCTTACCAGAGCGTCCGGCTTTTCCGGGCAAAACAAAGCCCCGGACGAGCAGAGCAATTCACTACCCGATCCACGTAAGATTGGAACCTAATTTGTCCCGACAGGCAATGTAATCGGAAGCTCAACAGGGCACCGGGTATAAAGGGGCTCGCCGAAAGTTAAACATGAAATTCGCATACTACGAAGACATTGATTTATATCAACAATGCGGCATGCATCTCTGATATTCCTTCTGTTTTGAACCACGTACATCTTCATAATCAGCCCCACGATTCTCAGATGGTTTACCCTTTTCATGCCAATGATACAGGTACAAAGATTAACGAAGACCTAAATTATTTAATCAATATGTCTTCAGCTCATAATTTTTAAAGCAGGTAGACTATGCAAAGAATCATCTAAAATTCATAATGATGATGAGATTGACGTAGAGTTTAAAACTGTGGCTAGAGATGGAGGATGGACAATGGAGGATGTCAATTGTCTCGATGGGAAAATATCCAAATCGTGAAATAATGAGTTCTAACCTAAAATTTTCTATGTGTGAATTATACCCCAGGTTCAGTTCAGATTTTCGTATAATTATTTATGATTGCCTTCATCTCCGCCTAAAAAACTTTAAAAACCAATCAGCCGCCTTATTGGTCTAAAAAATTTTTATGGAGTAGTTTAGTAATAGTAAAAGGCGAAAAAAAAAAGGAAAAGGAATTTGTCCTATTTTTTTTATTCCATCTTGTTACTTTCGAAAAATCAATGAAATCGATTCTTTTCGAAAGTATACGCGTTCCTCACTAAACTCGAGATCTCGTTAACGGCGTTCACCTTTTTTATCGTATTTCGACTGTTTTTTGGACGTTGCTATGAAACACGATAAGTGTTTTCAAATTTGGCGGGCGAATAGCGCCTGGTCCTCTGACGGAACCCATTGAAATTGAGGTGGTCGGAAGCATTTAAAAAAAATAAAAAATCGCGTCTGCAAGGGTCTAACAAAAAATCATTTCTTTAAAACCGTCTATGCAACCGAAAAAATTCTTGAAAGGGAAGACGCACAAGATTTGGCTCCGAAAATGTTTATTCTTGATAATTTTTTAAGAATGTACAGGGTGGGCCGCATAGTCAAAAAAACTGGATACCCCTAATAGTGAAAATTGGCTATAACTACAAGACTGTGTCTCAGATGTTAGTTTCTTTTACACGACGATATAACCCGTATAGACAACTAAATCTTTTGTATTTAAGGTTTTTAATTATTGTAAACCGTGTTCCCGATATCCCGTGGTAAATAAGAAATGTGTTAAGTGTCCTAAAATTGCAGATATCGACTTCAAATTTAGCAGAGAAGTAAAAATTCATGCCCACATTTAAACAGTGGAAATTGGGTGCAATCAAATTTCACCAAGTATGTTTTTTTAAAATTGATTTTTTTTTGGTTATTTTGCTTTGCAGAAAAACATGCTCTTCTCCATAGCCATTCACGCAATCGGCAAAATCCTTTAACCAGCAGACGCGGAAGATCCGTTGCTGAAACGTTTGTTTCAAGCGTTTTTTGATTATATACAATCATAGACAAAAGTGTAAAAGACCCGGGAAATTGTTCTTTTCCAGAGTAAATTATTAAACGCAAATCAAAAATATTAAAAAATATGACTAATCGAATCAAACATTGTCATAGGCCGCGTCAAGAGCTACAATTTTTGTATTTGCGATTTTCGCCTATAACACACACTATTCCTAGGGTTCAATCAAGACGCAATGACGTCATTGATTATTAAGGCGCACTGCATGGTTTCAGAAAACACTTATATTCTCGAAAACCGTTTACTCTTATCGGTAAAATTCTTGGACCAGGAAACGTGGGAGATCCAGGGCTATAACCTGTATATCCAAAAATGTTTCCATTATGTACAGGGTGTGTCGATTATGGCCAAAAAATCAAAAAGTCTCTGAAAATTGCCGTTTTAAAAAAATAGTTGCAGTTGTAAAATTTGACAATTTTAGAAAAAATATAGGCATACTTTTGGGACTTGTCCCGTAGGTCGAAAACGAGTTGACTTATCAATGAGACCAGGAGCGTCCCTACTCATCTTGCGATAGAAATATATAAGAAATACCCAAAAGCATTAAGTATTGGTATCGCAAAAAATCAAAAAATTCGTGGATCATTGTTTCCGATCATCTCCTAGCTCCATCCACCTGTTGCTGACACAAAAAGAAACAGGTGAAAGAGAGGAAAACTTAGGCGAAGTTTCGGGCCGTTGAACTATTTAAAAAAAAAAAGGTAAAACCCCTTTAAAAACTAACCAATCGACAGGTTGTGCCGAAGGATTACAAGACGATGGCGGCGCTATCGAAGGCGATCGCCAAGAACGTGCTGTTCTCTCATCTCGACGAGAACGAGCGGTCGGACATCTTCGACGCCATGTTCCCGGTCACCTTCCTCCCCGGCGAGGTGATCATCCAGCAGGGCGATGAAGGCGACAACTTCTACGTCATCGATCAGGGTGAAGTCGAGGTATGCCGGACCTCCTATCCCCCCTGTTTTTTCATGTTCCATCCTGTATATACTGCTATATGCCGGATGGCCTGTGAAATGTGTGATGTCTAGCTAGATCACGAAAAAAGAATATTACAAGATCTTATGACTGTTCTCGTATAAATGGAGAAAAAATTGTATTGAAATTGAAACATCAATAGAAAAAAAGCTTTCTTTTTCTACATAATTTATTTAAAATTACGAATTATTGGTTTTTGTTTTTCTCTCAAAATAGCTCATTTTATCGATATTAAACAGATTTGTTTTTTTTTTCGAACGGAATTGCTTATGGTACCAAAGATATTCTTTTCGAGGTTTTGATAGACAGGGTTTCATTATAGTTTTTACTGTGTATGTGGTTTGTGGTCACGGTATTTAAATAAGTTAAAATTATATCACTAAAAAATATTCTCAAAACTTTCTAAATCTTTAAGTAAGAAGTTCTGCAAAAATGTTTTTATTCACTTTTGAATAATCAGAAGAAAAATAATTTAATTTTCATATTTACGCGGTAGGCAACATTAAGCGACTTTATCCATGGATACTTTGACGACTGCTTGCAGTGACTTAAATATATGCTCACGTCTCCATCAATCCAAAAAGTATTATTTGCAATTTGGTGAATTTGTGACTATTTTGTCAAAAGTGTAGGCACAAACAGTTTTATCACTTTTTTAGTTAATTTTTCTGGTATTTTTGGAAGTTGATCTATACTCAATTTGACCTTCACATGACTGACTATTGGTTCATTGCACTACCATGAAGATTGTTTATTAAAATTAATACTCTTCAAGACTAGCTACTCTTACTAATTTTTATCAAATTGGGCTTGCATATCTTAAAAAAGTATAATTTATGATAGCTATATGTTCTATTTTTATTATTCAAAGATATGGAAACACAATTTATAATCGATGATCTGATGAAATCGATGCAAATATAAACTGCGTAACTGCCAAATATTGGGATGTAGCAAGATTAGCATGATTGTCAAGACATGCCCGCTTGCAGTGGCGCTTGCGCCTTTATGATTACTAATTGGAACAAAATATAAATGGACATGGTATTTACGTTATTTTTTCGCGTTATATTCGAATTCTCAAGATTAATTTCTCACACTTTTCCGGACCCCCTGTAATATTTGAATCGTCTAGGTCTACGTCAACAACGAAATGGTGACGACTATCGGCGAGGGCGGCAGCTTCGGCGAGCTGGCTCTGATTTACGGTACCCCGCGCGCGGCCACCGTGAAAGCGAAAACGGACGTGAAACTGTGGGGCATAGATCGCGACTCGTACCGCAGGATCCTGATGGGCTCGACGATACGCAAGCGCAAAATGTACGAGGAGTTTTTGGCGCGGGTCTCGATCCTCGAGAACCTGGACAAATGGGAACGCCTTACGGTCGCGGACGCGCTCGAGCCGGTCAGCTTCGAAGACGGCGAGACCATAGTGCGTCAGGGCGAGCCCGGCGACGACTTTTACATCATCGTCGAGGGCACGGCGACGGTGAAACAGAACCGGGGCGAGGGGGAGGAGCCGATCGAGGTCGGCAGGCTCGGGCCCAGCGATTACTTTGGGGAGATCGCCCTGCTGCTGGATAGGCCTAGGGCCGCGACCGTCGTCGCCAGCGGTTCGTTGAAGTGCGTCAAGCTGGATCGGGCCAGGTTTGTAGTTTTCGGACATCTAATTATATTCTAAATAAATAAAAACGTTGTGGAAAAGTTAAGCTGTGCTACTATTCGCGGCCAACATTTGAAGCTGTACTAACTGCACTAACCCATAGGTTTGTTAGATTCGATTAAAAATCTGTAATTTCGTACATCCACAGATTAGTTAGGGCGAAACATTGGTTAGAAATTAATTTTTCAAAGAAACTTCCGCAGGCAATAATACTTTACACAAATACTTTTTACAAAACTTCTGGATTCCTCCTGCGTCGGTTTTTGCTGAGTCGAATTTGCTGACGTTTCGTTAATAATCCTGTTGGCTTCTTCAGAGTTTGACTGAAACTGGCTCGCATTTTACTCTGTCTCTGCTTATATATTGTTTTGAGGGGGGCGGAGCTAAATGAGGGGCATAAACACCGTCTCGGATGACTGATATCCATATTGGTCGAGACCTGAGTCGCGGTAAAGATTGTCAGGTTGCTTATAGATTTCTATAGACTCTCGGTTTTTTCGTTGGTAGAAGAATGGATTACATGCAAGAATTTTAGTTTTATCGAATAACATTTTATGTCCGGTTTCGTGATGGTGTTCGGCAACAGCTGATGAGTTTATTTGTTTTAGTCGTAAGGCTCTTTCGTGTTCTTTGAGCTTAGTTGATATTTTTCGTCCGGTCTCCCCAATGTATTCTTTGCCGCATATGCATGGAATGCTGTAAACTCCTGTCATCTCGAAATTCCATTCCATTTTGTAAAATGTATTGGTTAGAAATTTGTAAGAAAAAGGAATCTGTAGTTTCCTTATTTCAAGATCCCCTCCCTACCGGTGGCCGGGAGCTTGAAACGGGGTTTCCATCAAATATAGCCTGGACCAGAGAATATTAAATGCTAAGAAAATTCTGATCTAAAAATTTACTAAATTATGAATTTGGAAAAGAAAAGCAAGTAAATAATAATAATATTTTATTGTTGTTCATTTCATTATAAATATAAATGTTAACAATCAGCAATTACATTGCATTATTAACAATTCTTAATGGTACATACAAATAAACTGTATGTACTAATTATTTCTATTATTCTATAAACGCCGGTTTCGCAACAAAATTGAACTGGAGACATTGTTTGTTTGGTTCTCCCAATATACTAACCCAACATTTACATGTGATGTGATTTTTAATCACATTACTGTTTATAGTTATAGCGCACATTATCAAAAGTTAACAATTATCAGCAATATTTTTTTGGACGAACTATGGTATCTTAGGATACTGTGTGTTCGCTCACTAACGTTGTTTAAACAATTAAAGGTTGTTTCCCTAATTTATACTATAGAGCTTTTGCTATTATTTTCTGGCTTATTCCAAATAAACTAAATCAAAACCGCTGAGCCCAATCCAGTCAGGTAACTTCTTTTATTCTATTATATTATTTAACTCCTAGTTCAGAAGGCAGAGCATTGACTTATAATATGTATGTTTCTGGCACGCTATATGTTTGGGGTGCTGGGCAGCAGACCATGATTTATTTTGATTTTATAATAGATTTTATATACAGTTGTTTAGAAGTAAGCCGCTTACTCTCCTCAAAAAGTAAGTTAGTTGGGTATCACTAATCCAGAGTTCATTATATTATATATATTAGTCCCTCTAAAGATAACATATTATTTAATTCATTGAAGTTAGTTTTCTGAAGTTGCTTAATAATTAGTATGATTGTTCCAAGTAAACAGTTCGTCCATCAATATGCCCGAATGTTTTAAGTTTTTCTTTCATGAAAGTTGTTAGAAGGTAACAAAATGTGTTTTGTTTATATTTGAGGACAATAAACTATGGTGTAGCCATTGCTTTTAATCTTCTCAAGGCTAATTCTGCCATTCTATAAGTCTCAGTGTAACAGGGTGTTTTTAAAATTTTATGTCAATCAAATTTTCTTTCTTCGATCGTTTAGGCAGGAAGTAAGATATTTTTTAGTAGAGTATTTATTTAGGTATCATTTTGGTATATCCGTAGGGGAAGCTTGGCCTTAAATATTTTTAGTACATTTCATAGGAAAATCAGTCAAAAAATTGTAAATATGAAAATATATTTCACGATTTTATTTTGGCCGAAAAACAAGTCTCGACGATATGATACTCTGAATTCTTATCTGGCTACCCTGTATATGGGTACGAGTATGAGAATGCTGTAAAGAAACGATTTTAAACTTGCCACCGCTGTCACATACGTACAAGACATCAAAAGTACTTGAGTACATTTGGAGACATTAAAAAATTTACTCACTGGAACCATTTTGATCGCCCTCCCCGGCAGTTTTCACATTTAAAATCCGCGCGGGCGGGGTTGACTTTTTTTTGGTATTGACAGGTTCGAGAGGGTGCTCGGTCCCTGCGCGGAGATACTGAAACGCAACATCACGCAGTACAACAGCTTCGTCTCGTTGTCCGTGTAGAGTCGACACCGCCGCCGGCCCCTCCCCCGGCAAGAACTGACGCTCTTCAGCCAAATTTAAGTTTTCATCGTTTGCTGCGGCTAGTAGTTGAATCGCGCGGTTTCGTTTGGTCACTGGCGCCCGGCAGACCCGCGTACATACCCGCCACAGCCCGCCTTTTTTGGATTTCGTCATGTATCGCTTGAAAAAACGACCCGCCTACTGCTCAGTGTAAATGAACTACCATATGCACCCCTTTTTTGCTCTAAACTCGTAGTTTTATGTAAAAAATGATGCTGCACATTTGAACTACCGCGCTGCGCGTTAGAAATACCGTCCGATGTATATGAACTATGTGCTCGTATAGGTTCCTTTTTTGACTTATGCGCGCATCTGATTTTTCCTTTTAAACTGGCGCGTAGTTGTCGGAAAACGCTTTCTGCGGGGTATTTTTCTTTTCGCTCTTTTTCTTCTGTTGTGACCGGAACACATTCATAAAAATAAGTACTGCGCTTTGGTTTTTCTATTAAAAAAGAAACCTAAATTTTCATTTTTGAAACATGTTACAAATGAACTACCGGTGTTCTTGATTCCCGTCTCCGAGCCAGTGACCAGAACGCGCTAGAATTCGTTCTAAGATGGCGATTTAATCTTAAGAACGCGTTTTAAATCGAATTTTGGCGCCAAATTGCATATATCGTTGTTGTTTCATTTCGAGAGTCTATCGCTAATTTATTGACCACGTTGTTGGGGAAAGGGCGATTCCGCATATTCCGCGACCCACCGCTAACACTAAAAAAAAATCCAAATATTTTTATACTTCGCACCCATCATCCGCCCGCGATACTTTAACACCTACCGGAACGTGTCGTGCGGCCCGACTATTCGTTTTACCTATAATAAAATTGTAAAGGGATGTGTATATAGACGATTAAGAACCGTTTTCTTCCAATTAACGATAATATTTTAGCTGGTTACAGTTATATTAAATTATTAAAACCAGTAAAATGAGTTTTATTTATCTCATTTCATTTTTCCTTGCGGTATCCCAAAATGGTCTAACAATAAAGGCTGTGATATGTGAGCCTCGGTCTTCAGTCTGATGGCAGTGCTTTCTGTGACGTCACAACACTAGTTACGTGGCTTTCAATCGTTGGGCGCTATCTATTCGAAGTTACGTCAAACTCATTTGAGTGGTCCGTGATCAGACGGACATTGAGGTTAAGTTTGTTTTGGTGAGTTTTCGACGAGACTTTTGTGCTGAAAGAAGGGTAGCGTTCGATTCGCACTGAAAATGACGAAACTGCGTAAACAGCGCCGCCGGAAAGTGTATCGTTACAACGTAAACAGAAAACGCATGCGAAACAAAGTTGTTGCCACGGGGAAAATCGAATGGTAAGCGCCGCGTTATTAGGGACTTTTCGCACCTCTTATGTCGTTTTAACGGTTTATAACCTACTTTGATGTTATTTTGAATTCAGCATTTTTATTTTATATGCCTATCTGTTGACGTTATGTTAATAGAATAAATTAAGTCTGTCCCTTTCATGATTTAAAAGAAAAAAATGTTTGTATGGCAATGGAAAACATGTTGGATAAAGTTTTGGGTTGCAAAAGAGAACTTGACGTGAATTACAACCTTGAATTTGTAAATTATGTTCCTGAATTATATCCCACACATTAGGATTTAGGCCTCTCGCAGCAGTACTAGGTGGTCATTATCATCAAGCTGAAAAACAAAAATTCGAAAAGGAAACTGAATATCTCTGCTTCAAAAATTTACCTTCGAGCCACTGGCACTAGTCAAATAAAAATATATGAGAGTTCAAGTGCAACGAAGTAAAACCAAATCCGTATTTTTTGAAATTGACAACCCACATCACACACCTAAACCTTAAACTTGAGTAACGGAAGCCTTGTTCCGCCGTACAGTAACTGTTTACGGTTTATTTCTCATCAATCGTGCACACTTCAACTAAGAGATAAAGTAAAACAACCCCAAAATAAGAGGTGCGAAAAGTTCCCGTTATGTGTCCCCCTGTGAACACTTTAACTGACTCCCGCTTTAGTGCGGCGGTTAAAACGGAGTGGGACTCCCGCAAATCCGTGGAAACGAACCTCGACGACATGGGTCTGTCGCACGACCCGAACAAAACCATCAAGGTGCCCAATAAAAAAAAAGAATTAAAAGACAGGATCGCAGACAGCGGCGAGTGGCGGTGCGAACCCCTGCAAGAAAATCAGCGGAGGCCGAAGACGCACGTCGCCGAATCGTTAGAGGCGGACGCAAAGGCGCCTCGTGAGCACAAATTCCGGTTACCCAAGAGTCACGTCGAGTGGATCACGTATTTAATGAAAAAATATGGCAACGACTACAAGGCGATGGAGAGGGATAGGAAAAACTACTATCAGGAGACGTGGAAGCAGCTGAGGCAGAAAATTAAGATGTTTAAGAAAATTCCCGCACATTACAACAAGTACCTTGCAGAGAACGGCTTGGTTGCCGATTTCGAAGAACCTCAGTTATCCGATGGGGAATTATGATTAGGGTAAAATAAATTAAATAAAGATCAGTAAATATTTATTTGCGCCAAAGATGGGTCAATAAAAATCTTCTTCTGAGAATTTGGCGGGCTGCTGCTGGTTCTTGACCTGCTCTTGGTTCTTGTACATGTAAGCCACTTGGTCAGCCGTAGTGGCGTCTTCCACGTTCTTGTCATCCCTAATCCTTATAAATCGCGGGAACCGCAAGGATATGCCCTTCTCAGGATCAATCTAGGGGAAATGTTACGTGTGAATTCTGTCCCTTAATCCTCAAAAACCTACAATTCCGATTCCGGCTCGGTGTACGGGCGACAGAGACAAGTCGGCGCACTTAATCTCCCAAACCTGGACGGGTTCGAACCAATGGTCCGGTTCGAGCGACGAGTCGTACCTGTAGTAGTTCTTAGGATGCGGGATCACGTGGGACTTGAAAAACTCCGAGTGGATGTGCAGGATTTCATCGCTAAAGCCCGTGCCGATCTAAAAAAAAAACAAAACTACCGCCGTCCCGTAATTTTTACCGGCCATTTTTTACTTTGCACACGCTTTGGTACTCTTCGCTCTCCTTATCGTAACACGCCAACAGGAAGCCGCCGTAACATCCGGTCCTCTTGCCCTTGCCCACGTAACCCCCGATAACCACTACGTCCAAAGTGTCGCCTGCCCCCTCCAAATAATCTTTCTTCAGCTTGAGCCATTTGTGCGACCGTTTCGCTATCTCGTACGTAGCATCGTGCTCGAGCGTTTTCACCATCAGTCCCTCGCAGTTGCCTGAAACAAATAACCGGCTCGATCGTGCACACCCGAGGAACGCGGCGACGACACCTTTCACGCTCTCCTCCAAAAACTCCTCGACCTCCTCCATCCTCGTGGTGTCCAAGCTTTTCGCGAACAACCACTCGCCCTCGATCTCGTTAAAGTGCCGCTTCAAGAGATCCCTTCGTTCCACCAGAGGCTTCTTAACCAGCGACTCGCCGTTGAAGTATAACAAGTCGAACATGAAAACGCACACCTGTACTTTTATGTCCGCTTCGTTCGCGTCCTAAGACAGGTAAATCAGAACTACCAGAAACTTTAAAATTGTAGTACTAGGTCAAACGTTCCAAACATTGATATTAGTGTCTATTCGACGCGTTTCACGTACCTTTCGCTTCCTAGTGCTAAGAACCTGAAACGGTAAGATCTGTTTCTTCTCGCGGTCCCACGCGACCGCCTCGCAATCCAATATGCAGGACCGCACTCTTTCGTTACGGCATTTGTCCATCCGGGAGATGATGTCCGGATACTTGGACGTATTATTTTCCTGGTTGCGGCTGAATATGTGCACCGTGCTATCGTCGATATGGATCTAAGTATCGAAATCAGAAGTGGGATAAAAACTATCTCATCTTTTTTTAACGCGTTACTTGGGCCCTCTCGCCGTCGTACTTCCACTCGCACGTGAACTTCACGCCCTCAAACCTCTGCAACACCTCCTGGACCCCTTTGGTGGGATGTGCCAACATTGGTTGTAGCGGTATGCCCGGCGTTAACTTGCAATGCTCTGGCAACTTATCGACGCCCTCAGTAAGCAACACGGGGACGATCTTGTCGTAGTTGGGACACTCGCTGTTTTATCAAAGAGGAGGGGCTGAAAAAAGGAATATCACCTTCTGGAAGGGGTACCTACCAATAAGCGGTCTTCAATATCAACGCGATCCGATCGACTTCCGCTTTGAACGAGTCACCCGAATAGTTTCTAGAGTTGTCGATGAGTGGGGGTGGGTACTCTTGGTTTGGGGGCGTGGTCGCGCATGCCAGCGCCAACGCTTGCAGCACGGACTGTTCCGCCAGTCCGATTCTCAATTTGCCTGCCAGAGATCTGATTAGGAACCGCGCCTCCTCGTCCTGACAAGCGACGAACATCGATTGAATTTTTTCGATTTTTTTCGTTTGAGCCTGCAACGTAATTTTTCGCTTCACAGTCACACGTAAGCCCCGCCCCTTATCGTACCGCGTGGCCCGTCATTTGGGCGATTTCCTTCAGTTTGTCGAAAACGCCCTTCACGGTCAATCGAGCCGGTTTGAAAATCATCCTCTGGTTGGATTTCGAACGTTCCGCCACGACGCCCAAGTCGCCCGTCTCTTGCGCGTCGGCTTTGATCTGCGCCACGGTCCTACCGGTGGATTGGGCGATGGCTTTCATTAGACTAGTTTCGGCCACGCCCAGTTCCAAGCCCTCGTACGCGGGCGCGATTTTGTTCAGGCAAAGGTACACGCTGGGCAAAAGGTCTTCGGGGGTGAGGACCGTGACGGATCGGAAGTAATTGCTGAGGATTTCGATCATTTTGAGTCGCGCGGATACCTGTTCGATTTCGTCCAGGGTTCTAGACAGAGCGCTGTATGGTACCCTGATAAACCAGCGCGGGTACTGAGAGGAAAAACAACTTAAACCGTAATATTAACCTTTCTTTGCGCGTCCATGTGGCGCAGTCGATAGGATGGTACTTTGAAACGTTCGGATCGTAACGCGCTCGCTTGGTTTGCTTTTCGTCCTTTTGTTTTCCTAACATCGTAAATTTTGCGTCTCGCTTATGAATAAATAAAGAGGGAAACTTACCGAAACCGACGTTGTTGACTTTTGTATTGGTTGCAGCTTCCTTTTTTTCGACAGTCTCTTCTTTGGTTGCCTTCGTTTCGACACTGTTTTCTGACTCCAATTTCGCTTCGTTGTTTGTTTCAGCCATTCTCTTATCTTTGTTTGTACTCTTCTTGGATGACTTAGTCTTTTTTGCTAAAAATCGAAAATACTGTAACAGAAAAAAGTGTCTAATAGAAATGGAGTACCCGGAGTGGGACTAGTTTCTTCTTCTGATCTGGAACAGAACAATTAAACATGGAATTGGATCAGCAAAAACACAAAATCTTACTTGCTTGTGATGTAGTCGCTTCCCTTGGGACTTTTAACGCCACTTTTGTGAATCTTTGATTCCTTGTTCACAATTTTTGATTTTTTCGCTAAAAACTCGACATTGATCAATTACACAGGCAGAGAAACCAAAATGTAAATACCTGCGGCGGTAAGAGTCGTCTCCTCTTCGTTCGACGGCCTAAAACATGTCGAATTACAGTATGATTAATGTTTGTTCGAAGCAAACTTACTTTTCCTCGGAGGCATCATCGCTGCTTGATTTCCTGGGCCTCTTTCCTCCAATGGGGGAACTGTGTACATATTTGTAAATTACATGGTTAGACAGGGATATTTTGCGCAAGGTCTGTTCGTTTTGAACAACCCTAACCGCCTTACTAAGTAGTTTAAGCATAATACTTTACATACCCTTGTTTTTGAGCGCTATCTTTGGGCTTAAAAAACGACCTGGAACGCAGAGAACTAGTAATCGTTAATCAACGGAAAGAAATACTTACGTGATGCTTTTTTGTAACATTTGGAAGTAGCTGCCTACAAATCCACAAACAAATTATTTGGCGCCTTTTAGTTTGAGGTTATGTACCAGTCGACATTTGTTGTCAGTATGTTAAAGGCGTACCTCACTAGCACTTATCTGGGCAACGTTGAATCAGCCCCCCGTAGGCCTAAACGCACGGTTTTTTGCTTGTGCTATCAAATCATGTCAGTCAAAAAATTTAACCCACTACTCATTAGACAACCAGAAATACTCGAGCGCGTCCGCGGTTACCTACGGCGGCGACGAGTGTTGCCAACATCGAAAGAAAAAGTCGCATGCCGCCGCACGTCCCGACATAACTGTTGAAAAACCATTAAAAGCTGTCGCTTTCGCTTTCGTTTTCAATGTCAAAGTTGGTCGGTCGCTTTCTTCACCGAGGAGGCGTCAGTCGTGGTAGCAGCGCGTTCGGCCCAAGCAATAACGAACGCAGAAATTGGTGTGCCCGTGCGAGCAGAATACCGTTAACCGCTACCCTCCCCGCTCCGCGAACGCGTGGAAGCCGCCTGCGCCAGAGTATTGTGTCAGTGGGGCTACGGTATCATCGGTCTCGAGTAGTAGTCGGCGCTTTTAGTAACTTTTGCGGTTATTGTACGAGTGCCACAGCGGAGATCGCGAGAAAAATGCCCGCGGCAACTAAGCCCTTCCAGAGACTGCCCACGAATGTGAAGCCGGAACATTATAGGCTCACGTTGGAACCAGATTGGAAGACGCTCACGTTCAAAGGAGACGTGTCGATCAAAATTGAGGTAGGTCGATTATTGGTCCGTCCATATGCCGGTTGATTTTCGGCTTGTGTCGAATGAATGGCTCTTAAAAAACGGCGGGCCGGAGTTGATCCTTTTTTCAGCAGTGACGTCGGGAATCGCAGTTGAATAAATATTTAACGCAACATCGATAAGTTATCAGCGTATTTCAAATAGACGAGACTATTTTTAGTTTGGCTGCATGCTGTTGCATGGGGTTTTCGTTTTCTTTTTCGGTGTTGGATTTTGAAAACCTAAATTTTTTACGCGACCGATGACCCTGTTTTTTAACGAATCGATGCTGGCGCCCGCCGCGTGTCTTTTGTTTTCTGTTGCCTGTCGCAAATATATATTATCGGTTTATTTTTTGACGGTATGAATGGGGCTTTGCTGTCGTCTTTTTTACGGTCGGCGTTTAGCGAAAATATTTTAATTTTTTTACGAAGGAAATTCTAGCGATTCCGAGAATACGTCGCGTTGATTTAAGCGGCAATTATTGCCGAAAACAAATAGCTAATTAAAACGCAAGATGTTTTTTTTTGTTCGGGTTTATTTTTTTGTTTTAGTTAGGTAGGACATTTTTCATTCTATAAATAAATCATAACCTCAAAATGTGTATGTGCGAGTCATCCCTACAACTCCATGCTTTGTATTTTGCGCTGAGGTGCTTTTTAGTAGTCGGTTTAATTTTATCAACAAAATCGATCTATTTACGATGAAATAAAGGGATGTCGCCGATTTTAATTTCGACTTTCTAATGTTGGAAATATTGTGCGATCAATCACCCCCTTTACTTCTTCCGAATCATCGTCGTTCCCCCTGTAAATAACACGCAATAAAACCCGTTGGTGTTATGGGTGTGGGAGGGGGTAGGTGGGAAGATGTTTGTTACTGTTGTTACTGCCGACGCCACTGGAGTAACGGTACGCGGTCGGTTTTAGAGACCGAACCCGGGAATAACGGTACCAGAACCCTTATGTAACTTATCACGAGGCCGAGACGGTTTAAATACGCACTGGCCATATATATGTATTAAATATACGCGCCTAACAAATATTGGCGAAAGAAAACGCTTCCACACCCATTTTTATTCTTTGCTGTCGAGCTCTTTCATCCGAGCCATTTTTTCATTCGCCGCACGCCATCACGCCAAACGTTTTACAAAAAACGGCCTTTTGTTTTTCATTCCTAGAAAATTCGCTAGCAACTGCAATGTGTGACGTCACCAGTCGCAATTTTAAGTTTGTTCCGACAGTTCCGAACAGTTTTCAATTGAGCATGCGCGGATCGTCAGCCCGAGAGAAGAGCTCGCTGAGCTAACTTTTCTGATGTCTCAACATTTTCATAATTTTAATTTTAGCAAACAACTTATTTTACAAATAATACTTACCGGCTTCCAAAATTTCAAGATTGTAGTCAATAAAATTTTAAGAAAAGCCAGAGCAACAGTTACTTGGCTTGCTAAATTCAAAATTAATTCTAGGCTCTGATGGAAGGAACCTATTCTTCTTCTGTCTAAATAGAGTATTTCTATGTAAAGAAAAGCAATAAGAAGAAGGATTGTTCTAAATTTAAATTACACTCATTGTCGAGGAGTTTTATAAGTGCGAAAGTTACAAATATAAAAAAGTATGAACAAAAGAGGTTAACATAACACTTGACCATAGACAACAAACACTCAGCCAAAGGCAAAAGTTACTTGACTTGCCAAATTCAAAATTAGTTCTAGGCTCTGATAGAGATAGAGTATTTCTTAATTTTCTTATTTTTTATTAAGTATTTGTTCTAAATTTAGATTACACGCACCGTCGAAGAGTTTTTTAACCGCAAAATGTACAAACATTGTCTGGAATTTCCATTTTTCAATGCATCATGTTCTTAAAAAAGTATGAACATAAGTTCTTATATTTACAATTTAATCACTCTTATCATACAAGACAGAAAGAATTAGACTACAATTAATCTATACATTCGTTGTCATTGACTGAGAAGAATTATCAGTATAATGTTGTGGTTTTTTTATAATGCGCTGCCTAAAATGTTTAAAGCATTTTACTTTTTTGAATACTTTAACTACATCGAACTCTACATTTTCTGTATTTCTGTCTGTTTATTTTCAGTGTTATTTCGTAATACACACTTTTTTAATGCTATATGTGACGTATTTCAAACTTTGTAAATATGTGTGTGTTTACGTAGTAAGTCGTGTAACAAAAATTCGAAATCGTAATATTTAGTTATAGCTTGTCAAACTTCTTTTTTTTTTAATTTTATTTTTAACAAGCTGGTATTTTACAAATAGCCCTGATTTAATAAAAGTCACCGGCACAAAATAATACTGTTTCAGAAATCTATCACTCTACCTAGAATATTTATTTAATTGTTCCTGTATTTTATTTATTTGGACCGATGTTGCAAAATAGAACAGATTGCCTTAAGCAGAAGCTCAAATCCTCAAAATTTGTTACTCTTGTTTTAAGTCGATAAGTGTTGTCGTTTAGCCGCAAATCGATTTATTTATTCTCGTATTTTTTCGTGTTAAACAGCATTTTTAAAAATGTATAAGAAAATGTTTAGAAATGAACGGTGGCCATTTTGAAAACGAATCGTTATTAGCGTTGTATACTGTTTAATTCCCGATTATGATTAATATTTTTTTTTCGAAAATGTTGCATGCATTGCATTGCATTTATCTTACTGTCTTATTACATTGACTTATGCCATTTTTCTACTTTTTCAATTTGTAACATACTGTTTTGAAAAATTTAGTGCACTTCGCCTGCAGGTTAATATCGCGACATTCAGTATCATCTTTGTGTAAGTTAGAAGTGCGGGGTATTCGGGCCGAGAATAAAAAAGCCGATTTGTGACTAAGCGATAACACTCATCGGCTCAAAACAAGAGTAACGATTTTTGAGGATTTGTGATTCGGTTGCAATATCAGTCTAAAAGAATCCTATAGTGAAAGATGTCTGTGTGTAAAATACCAGCTTATTCCGTTGATTTGAAAAATGAATTTCGACAAGCTATGAATGAATCTTTCCTCCAAGTTTCCGAACACTCTGTATAAGTTGTTTTTTCCTACTTGAAACTACAAATGTAATCTTATTATAGTTAAATGGCCTGAGCGATGATAAGCGTTCTTGTTTGGTGCTTGGTGCCCACTGTTTTCACTTAGCCCATGTCTGAGGGTTTTACGAATTTATATAAATTGGTCGGTTGCGTAATACATTGGTTGCGACTATCGACGTGTCCCCCAGGTGGTGCAGGCGACCAACGAGATCCTCCTCAACGCTTTAGATTTGAAGGTGGCCAGTGCGGGTGTGAAGGGCGACAAGCTCTACGTGCCGAAAGATGTCCAACTCACCCCGTCCGACGAAACGCTGTCACTCAAATTCGATACCCACATCGCCCCTGGTTTTTACACACTGAACCTCGTGTTCGAGGGTGAGTTGGGCGATAAAATGAAGGGCCTGTACCGTAGCAAGTACGTCAACGAGAAGGGGGAGGAGTCGTACGCGGTGGTAACCCAGTTCGAGGCGACGGATGCGCGTCGTTGCTTCCCCTGCTGGGACGAGCCCGCCCTCAAGGCCACGTTCGACATCAGCCTCGTCGTGCCGAAGCATCTGGTCGCGCTCTCCAACATGCCGGTCAAACGAAAAGAGGAATGCGGCGAGGTCGTCCGGTATGACTTCGAGGAGACGCCCGTCATGTCGACGTACCTGGTAGCCGCCGTCATCGGCGAGTACGACTATGTCGAAGACAAGTCAAGCGACGGCGTTTTGGTCCGGGTGTACACGCCGAAGGGGAAGAAGGAGCAGGGCCTGTTCGCTCTAGAGGTCGCCACCAAAGTGCTGCCCTACTACAAGCAGTACTTCGATATCGCGTACCCGTTGCCCAAGATCGATCTAATCGCCATAGCGGATTTCAGCGCCGGCGCGATGGAGAATTGGGGACTCGTGACATACAGGTGCGTGACGTCAGTCCACATCCGGCTCGAAGGACCGCATTAACGTAGTAAAATGCGAATTTTCTCGCGCGGAGTCGGCAACACCGTAATCGCAAATACCTAGTATCCTGATCATAGCGCGTGATAATTAAAAATTGCCTACACCCCTGCACTTTTCCGCGATTTTTCTAATCGCTCATTGTTATCCACCGCCGGGCCCCGCGATTTATTCATAGTTGAGCAACAATCTGCGGGAAAAAAAAGTACGCAACACCTCGTAATAATTAACAATGGACGATTTTTATGACGCTTCCTTTCATTTTTTTTTATTTCAAATCCCGCTTACCGTTTCGTAACTTCGATTTTTATGGAACGCGCGTTACGAGCCCATAATGCAAGTGATAAACTTCCGTAATTTAGACTACAACGAAACTGATCTGAATTTTCCTATCGTTAGGTTTAGGTTGTACTGTGCGATCGTTTTATCGGCTTTGCGTTGTACTCTACCAATTTTTTCATAAATCTCTCTCCCACCTTGATTTTAGTTCGGATCTGCCGATCGTTTATGCCGCCATATATTCCCACCCTCCATTGGAAACACCTTGAAATATAAGAATTGAATTTAATGAGAGCCTACTCCCCACGGTCTACACGTGCCGTCAACAATAACACTTTCTGCTATGGTCCTGTCGGGGTCTTACTAGCGGCTTCGAGGGTCTTACAGTTAGGGCTACCTAATTACACTGTCATTTGGCCTTTAAAAAATGGCGAGGTACCGCGCTTCGTTTTCAAGTACTTCTTTCGGGCCATTACCTCTCTTCCATCTTGATCTTCTGCTACCCAGGGCTCGGCGTTTAATTCTCCGATCCTTTGCGTCCTCCCACTCTCCATTGGGAAAACCTTGAAATCTTCAAGAAGTTGCTTCTTCATGAGTAGTTTGGTTTGAATGGGAGCTTTCTCCTTTTCCAAACTCAGCCTATGCGAGCTATCATCAATAACTGGCACGGTACATTTGAACTACCTCTAGATTCGTTTCTAAGATTTTTTCGATTATCTTATCTCTCCAATCTTGATTTTAGTTCCTTGTTCTTAGACCTGTCAGGGCCCTAACGATGTCGAAGATCTGGTAATTATAACTTATTCCTATAGCGCTCTTCAATACATGTTTTCCCATTGTCAGGTACATTTGACCTACTCGCTTGGGGACTGGAATATTTTTTTAATTAAAGGGAAACGGCACTACTGGTCGACCCTCAAAACACTTCGGCCGTGAGTAAGCAGTGGATCGCCTTGGTGGTGGGCCACGAGCTCGCGCACCAATGGTTCGGCAATTTAGTGACAATGGAGTGGTGGACGCACCTGTGGTTGAACGAGGGCTACGCGTCTTTCGTCGAGTTCCTCTGCGTCGACTACCTGTTCCCCGAGTACGATATATGGACGCAATTCGTCAACGAATCTTACATTAGAGCACTGGAGCTCGACGGTCTGAAGAACTCGCATCCGATCGAGGTACCTGTCGGTAACCCTTCGGAAATCGACGAGATTTTCGACGACATCAGCTATAACAAGGGCGCTAGCGTCATCAGGATGCTGCACCATTACATCGGCGACGAGGACTTCAGGTAAGAGCTCAGTAAACCAAAAAGAGGGCGGCGCTGGCCACACTAATTTGCAGTTGAGAAGCCAGAGATGGCAGGCAGCACTATGAATCAAACGTCCCATCCACAACTTTTAGTATTTTATTGGTGTTTTACTTTTTGGGATCCCGTGCTCACCAGTGGTCACATAGCAGCAGTAAATTCAAATGCTGGTGGCCACCCGTGAGCACGTATTATATAGGAATCGCGTATACAAAATGATTGCTTACTCCCATAAAGTAAAGAAAAAAATATTGGGTTGGGCAGTTTAGGACGTTTAGGTAATCTTTTTAGTAAAATATTTTAAAATTGATGTTACTTTGAGAATACATGTTTATTGTTAAAATATTAAAATACAAATAAAACAAATGGTTTCACTTAAAAAGTAAACGTTTGGTTGAACAATTTAAACAAAAAAAAAGTTTTAAGATTGGATTGGAAAGTGGAATATAAAAATATAAATAAAAGTCACTAACAAACGCACTAACATTTATTAAAATCAATTATCAAAAACAAAAAAATATAAATTTGTCTGATCGTGTTTTATACTCCCATTTGAGTTATAGACATGGAGGAATGGTTTTTTAAAAATCTCTGCAGTTGCTCTAAAGTTGCGATAGTTTTTATAATCAATCGCATTTGAATTCAAAGGCTCAAAGTGGCGTTTTGCACGTGAAGTGTGTCGTGGCCTATGGTAGTCTGTGGTTTGCGGGTAAGAGGGCGCTTCTTACAGGAAAGGCATGCACGTGTACTTAACCAAACACCAGTACAAAAACACGTTTACCGAGGACCTGTGGCAGGCGCTCGAGGAGGCCAGCAACAAACCGGTGGGCGAGGTCATGTCCACGTGGACGAAGCAAATGGGTTTCCCGCAAGTGACGGTCAGCAGCACGCCTCTAGGTGACTAGCGCGCGCCCTCTGCCGCAACTGCGAAGTATTTAACGTCTGGCGTGTTATAGCGGGCGGCAAGGGCGTTAAACTGACCCTCACCCAGAGCAAGTTCACCGCGGACGGCTCGCCCGCCTCCGACGACTACCTCTGGATGATACCCGTGTCCATATCTACCTCGAAGAACCCGCGCGAGGAGGCGGTCTCGACGGTTCTCAAGGCGAGGACGACCGAGATCACGGTGGCCGACGTCGAACAGACCGACTGGGTAAAGGTCAATCCCGGCACCATCGGGTTCTACAGGACCAAGTACCCGTCCGATATGTTGGAAAAGTTCGTGCCGGCCATCCGCGACAAGACCCTGCCCCCTTTGGACAGATTAGGTTTGCTGGACGACCTTTTCGCGATGGTCAAGGCCGGCCACACCGGCACCGTCGAGATCCTCAAGTTTTTGAACGCTTTCGAAGACGAGACCGACTACAACGTGTGGTCGTCGATCAACAACATACTGAGCAGGTTGTCGCAACTCCTGGGCAATACGGAACACAAACCAGGCTTCGACAAGGTAGGACGAGTCTTGTTTTTCCTTTGGTGTCACGTTTTTAAGTATGTCGGTTCGAAAATTTCGTAGTTACCAGTAAAAATGAAATTTTCAGTTTTTAGATGTTAATATTGATATCGCTTAAAATTTTGTTGGGGTATCAGTGCCTTTATGGATTCACACCCAATGTTCAACATTAAAAGAAAAACTTGCCGGTTTCAAATTCAAATACACAACTGAAAACAACAAAACAATCCCGATTAGGAAACCCACATCGGAAGGAATAATACAAACTATAGAATCGCTGAAATTTAAAAAAATTACGAGGTTTTGATAACGTCATAACGGAAACAGTGCAACCGATTGCTCACGAAATTAGTTAACTATTATTTTATTTAATAAACAAAATTTTTGCAAAAGGAATTTGTCCTGAAGAATTTAAGATCTGCATTGTAAAACCGCTATTTAAAAAAGGCGACCAAAACCTCCCAGAAAACGATAACTTATGAGTAACATAGCAAACATTTTTGAGATGGTTCCTAAGGAGAAATTAGTCCAGTTTCTAGAAGAAAACAAAATATTAAATAAAAACCGGCATGTCTACAGAAAACACAATATCCACTTTAAATTCATAAATTTACACAACACTGGAGAACAATAAAAAATTTCTTGCAGTGTTTCTCGATCTTTCCAAGGCCTTTGACACAGTTGATTATACACTGGTGTAGGTCTTGCAGGACTCGTACGTACGCGGAATACCTTAAAAGTTATCTTAGCGAAAGAATACAGAAAATACTTATAGTTTTAAAAAAATCCCATGGTGTCCCCCACGGATCCGTTTTAGGGCCAATATTGTTCATTCTTTACATAACTAATTACCATGTACACGTCAGGGACTATTTTTGGTTTTGGGGAACGACCAAGTTGTTCTATACGAAGATAATTCTTGGGATAATCTTAAAACAAAATGCAAAATGACTTCAGTAAACACTCGAGCCGGTTTAAACAGATGTCACTTATGGCGAATGAAGAAAAAACAGTTTTTATGCCATTTTCGTGCACGGTTTGCCAAATTGTAACTGGGAATAACAATGGATACACAATTAAAATGGAATAAATATTTACAAACAATAGTAAACAACCTAAGACCACTGATTTACAAATTAAAATATTTTTTACAAACATTTTAAGTAAACACTAAATGGTAACACTTTAGTATGCATTAGCGCAGTCACATTTAGAATATGGTATTTTGCGAAAATCTGCAAAAATATTTCCTAAAAATAGTTTTCCAAAACTGTTCAGCGAGTCCAGATGTTCAATACAATAACAAATAAGTGTAAGAAACAAAGGGGCCAACGATCTTACACATCAGAGATTCATAAATTTAACATCATTAAGTACCTAACCCACTGCAAATATATTTGAAAATTACTTACAAACCCGCTTTACAGCAGGAAGCAACGCGTTATGCGCCATTTTGTACGAAGTACAAAATAAACAACGGATTACCAACACGAAAAGTAACACAAAGTACACAACGGCCCGAGAAGACTTCGTAATAAGACTGTGTAATTAGTATAGTATATATCATCGCGATCTTGGTAGGATAGTAGTTTGTTACAAGTCTTAATTTCATATAGTGGTTTCAATTTCGCTAGTTTGAAGGCGCACTGTAAAAATGTCATTTAAGTTAAAGGACTTACAACTGAGCTGCTAAAATGTTCGAAGGGAGCACGTAAACCTTATCCAAAGGGTCAGATTTGTTTACTCTTAGCAGCACCACCAACGCTGAGAAAATTCGCGAATAAACAGTGTTTTTTAAAATTTCCTACCGGTTTTATAGTGAACTCTAAATTTTTTCCTAAATTTCACGTTCCTTCTGGGCAAGGTAACTCGGTATTTAAAAAATTGACTTGGAGAGTCTTCACACTTGTCCTCTCGTCTTTTCAGTATCAAAAGCAATTACTCAGGAAGGTGTACGAGCGCCTTGGTTGGAACGTGCGCGCGAACGAGACCCACTTGGACACGTTGCTCAGGGGCTTGGTGCTCGGTCGCATGGCGCTGCTCAGCGACAAGGCGACGATCGAGGAGGCTCGCGCGCGCCTCGCTAAGCACATTGCTGGTGACGAGGTGCTTCCTGCGGACATGCGCAGCGCGTGTTACCGGGCGGTGCTCAGGGCGGGCGGTCAGGACGAGTACGACACGTTGCTGAAGCTGTACCGATCGACCGACCTCCACGAGGAGAAGGACCGGATCAGTAGGTCGCTGGGCGCTGCCCAAGATCCGGCACTGCTGAAGAAGGTGCTCGACTTCGCGATGTCGGTAAGTGCGCGCGAAGGGGATAAGATTATTTTATAATTTGCGCGATCTTAAAACTTCGAAAGCGCCGAAAGGCCGCCAAATAAAATAAACCCTAGAATGTTTTAAAGAACCTCCCGCAGGCTCTTATTACTATTTACAAATTTTCTGGATTCCTGCTGCGTCAGACTTGCTGACGTTTCACCAAATATTCTCTCAGCTCCTTCTGAGCTACACTCTGAAACTTCCTCGTGCTCCCTCAAACAATATATAAGCTGGTACAGAGTAGAATGCAAACCAGCTTCAGCTAAGCCCCGAAGAAAACAGGATGTGTGGCGAAAAGTCAGCAAGTTCGATTTATTAACAGCCGACGCAGGAGATTTGTAAATAGTATTAAGTCAAAATTTGTGAAAAACAAGTTAAAATTTCCAAAAACTGAGTCAGGATTTTGAAGTTGCATTAGAATTTCTGGGAAATAAGTCAGTATTTCTGGAAACAAATCGGAATTTCTGAGTCAAGTCGGCAATTCAGGAAAAGCAGCAGCCAGTTTTTGGACGTTTAATGAGTAAGAAGTGAATTTAGGAAAATTTAAAATACAAGTTGGTCCTCCATTTTAAATCGAGACCCAGTTTTTATGCAAAGGGACACCGTATCGGAATGTAAGCGATATATTTCCACATAAAAATCCTTCTTTGACGCAAACAAATAATCCAGGTAAAGGAATGATTAATAACGCAGTGTAAGCAAATATTTTTTATCACCGTGCCTAATTTTTTGATTTTTCATCTATTTTATATTGTTAATATCGCAACCGCGCTCGTTGTCTGTTCGCAGGATGAGGTCAGGTCGCAGGATACCGTGTTCGTCATCATATCGGTGTCGCACAACGCGATCGGACGCGACCTCACTTGGGAGTTCTTCAAGAGCAACTGGGACAAGATCCTCGAGAGATACAGCGGGTTCCTGCTCACGCGTCTCGTCAAGTACCTGACGGAGAATTTCGCGACGGAACAGAAGCTTCGCGAGGTGGAGACGTACTTCAAGGAGCATCAGGCCCCGGGCACCGAACGAACCGTCCAGCAGGCGGTCGAAACGATCCAGCTGAACGTCGACTGGCTGAGGAGAGACGGGGCCGCCATCAGGGATTACCTCAAGTGATTTCCGGTTACTTAAGTTTGTACTTAACTCGTTTTTTTCCCCTTCTTTACTTTATTTAAACGGTAATTTACGCCAGTTACTTGTACCTAGTTTAATTTTAGGATTTTTAAAAAAATAAAAACTGTTCGCAGATTTGACGGTCACTCCCCTACTCGATCCCGTCGTCGTCCTACTCAAGTGCCGCAAGGTTATGTCCGCGGGCCGATTTCGGTCGTTGTTTATTTCACGACTAACGGCTTGTTTTCGCTTTGGTGATTAATTGTATCGGGTGGAAATGCCGCCAGCCTAAGTTCTAGACCCTTCTAATTCAATCTAGGACCTTTTTGCCTTTATTGTCTGAATCACACAGGCAACCTCTAATTTTCCTTCTTTTTAAAATTTATCACGGGCATTTACATTTCCAATATTAACAGGCAGTACTACTTCATAGGCTTTTATAGCCTTGTAGTGAGGTCCTTCAAAAAAAAAAAGTGGAGCTATGAACTGTTTACCTTCATATGAAAGAGCTGTAAGTACACTAAGCTTTCTTTCTTATAGTTTTACGTGAAAAGTCTTTTTTAAGGTTGACTTCCAGAAGTCTTTCAGTTGTTTTTTCGAGATTAGAGAGGAAAGTTTACATTTTCGATAATAGATATTGATGCCCTGCCATCCTTAACATCTTAATTATTGAAAAATTAATAGTCCAATTTTCTCAGAATTCAGTATTACGTTATGACTTCACTCATCTGTCTAATAGCGTTTTGCTTGATTTGAAGATCGGTGGCGCCGCACATTTAGTGTTTGGAAAAATGAGAACGCAGAGAGTTAATAAAAAATATTTAATGAACTGGAATTATCGTTTTAGGCCATTGCTGAGCCGTTTACGGGAATACTTTGAAAAAATGGAAAAACTTGCGTTATTGCTAAATTTGACGGAATAAATAGTTGACGAGACTTTCACAAATAAAAAATCACGATACTAACAATATGTACACGGGTCCTATTATGTAACGCGAAGGGGGACGATCGGAGGATACTGCTGTCCAAGCCCTAAGTCTAAAACATCATCTGTCGGGAGGTATTCTCGTTACATTTGATAATTATTACGAATTAACTTAAACTTTGCGGGATCGATATCCGCACTTGGAAGTTCACGTAATAATACGGTTTACGTCCTAAGTTTACGGTGCGGTCACGAGCCTGCGCCTGCGTCGTTCGTCGCGTCGTCTGAACTGGTCTTGGAATTCTCCTCACCTGGAAAGTTAAATACGCCCGTCAGCTACCACGCGCACTTTCCAAATAGATCGTAACACACTTGTTCACTTTCAACCATGACCAAATACTACGCTACACCGAGTAGTTCAAATATACCAACATCCACGATAATCGAAACGATCCGTTGACGCGTTAATAAGGCGGTACATTTGAACTACTTTTGTTACCAAAGATCTACATATAGGCCGACCTCGGGCGAGCTTACACTGACTAGTGGTAAAATCCAAAGTTATCCACTGTAGTTGTGACGTCATTGTCAATCGCTAATGGAAGGCGTATCAAAATAAAACTACTTTTAGGTTGTTTGTTTTACCTTCCATTGCTTTTATCTTAAAATATATCTCAACGTTTCTCTTTCGTTAGCTATGATGTACCAATTACGTCATAGCTAAGCACAGTGGTGTCGCCAAAATGATCGAACCACCTTACTTTTTGTCACCCGAAATCGACTATAACTGGTATCCCTCTGACGTACCATGCGTTACACATTGGGAAACTTAAAAAATACCACGAGGAGAACTACCTACGTCGACGAAGAGCAAAACTACGGACAGCCCTCGACCCAACTATTCGGAGCGCCTCCTATGACTACACGGGGACCACTAACGTGAGAAATACAGACAGAGAACACTACTTGGAAAGGAAAGAGGAAAAAAGAAGATCATGCACGCCCCCAGTACGATGCAATACACACCTATTGAACGACCGGCCCAAACTTTCATCTATTTTCCTGCTCAACCGTCGCTGCAAAACAAAAATCACGCGTTCACAACCTCCGCAGAAGGGAAAAGAAAGAAATCCCCCCAGTCCCCCGGGACTTACTCTTCTCGGATTTGACCTCGTCCTTTAGCTTGTCGTCCGCCTCTTTGCCGTCGCCACCTTTGTCCAGTCGCGGCCTCTTGCGTCCTTTGTAGCTCCTGTTGTCCCTCCTGCCGCCTTCACCCTCGTCCTCGCTGTCGGAGAACTCGTTCTCCGGCACTATCCTTTTGTCCAGGTCCTTCTGGGGCAACCTGATAACAAGCGTCCGATCGAAAACGGGTTCTCCGGGAACACCCGAAACGTACCTCTCGTCTTTGTCGACCTTGTCCTCGGTGTCGGAATCTTCGTTGATCGCGTCTTCTGGTATGGCCTGGACCTGCACACCGGGCGCGTGCGGCAACATCCGCAGGTTCTCGAACAGTCTCGTTTTGATCTTTTCGAGGTACTCGGGCGTGTTTTGATTGGCCATATTGCTCGGGCTGATGTGCAGCTTGAAATCCGGCCCGAAGTACTCGAAGTAATCGTTGTAGGGCAGTTCGTTGGCGATTTCAACTCCGAGGGCGACGGACGTCTCGTAGGTCCACGCCCTCGACACGTTACGTATGGTATAGCCGCCTCCGCCCACCATCATAAACGGCAGGTTGTATTTTTTGACGAACTCGACGCATTTGCCGTGCCCTTTGACCGTCAGATTGAAACAGCCTAGACGGTCGCCGGTAAGGGAGTCCGCGCCGCACTGGAGGACGACGGCACTGGGCTGGAACGTCTCCATCACTTTGCTAATGATCGGCACGAAAATACTCTCGTATGCCTCGTCGTCCATGCCGTCCCTCAGCGGGATGTTTACGGCGTAGTATTTACCCTTGCCGGCGCCTATGTCTCGCAAATCGCCCGTACCTACCGACAGTATTCAAAAATATTTAGTTCCATCTACGAAAGCAGATACCTAAAAATTTAAAAAAATCACTAATTTTGATTGGTTTTTAATTATTCTAAATTGAATTAAAAGAATAAATTATGCCATGCATCCATTTGTTTTGTTCAGGCCTACAAATTTTTTCTTTGCTACAAATCAAATTTAAAAATTTAAATTATCCAAGTGCAAAAAGAATTGTTGAGATTTTAAGCTATTCTACTCTATCAAAAATGAAGCATATTACATGAATGGGTAACAAGAAATCAAAATGCATCAAAAATGCAGCACCAGCACATTACATGCTTAGAACAAAAAGTCTTATTTTTAAAATAAAAAATTACTGCTAACGCAAAAACAATTCTCTCCGCTTTTTTAGTGATCATTATCAAGCTCTTGTGACATGAATTTAAATCGTTTAATTCATTCATATCTTTTCAATTAGGTCGACACTTTTTCGTATTTTTTAAACCCCCAAATTGAACTGATTCTTTGAATAATTTGAGAAGTGAAAAGGTGATTTAATATTCGTTAAGGAAATAGGAAAAACGTATGCCACACGGTGGCCTCTGACAAAAAGAGAATGTTCCAAAAATACAACATATTACCGACATTTAAAAAATCGGCAACAGGTGAACTTTTTGAATTGCTGTTGTCCAATTGCGACACTGCCGCCTCATGGGAGGAGAGGGCGGTAATTTTTTTTGGACGTACCATCTGCCCGGAAACTTAACTTACCCGGAAAATATTCACCGTACTTGTGGAAGGACACGGTCATTACTCTGTCGGTGGTATAAAATGCCTCTTCAACACCGTCGCCGTGGTGCACATCTATGTCGATGTACAGAACTCTTTGGTGGTACTTGAGCAGTTCCAAAATACCCAAAACGATATCGTTGACGTAACAAAAGCCAGATGCCTCCGATTTTTTGGCATGGTGCAGGCCTCCGCCCCAATTTATGCAGATTTCCGACGCTTGTTTGTTGAGTTTGACGGCTGCTGCCACCGACCCGCCCGCCGACAATTGACAAAACTCGTAGAGGCCGTCGAACACGGGGCAGTCCTCGCCTACATTAAAACGCTGCATCTGTTTGTTGTACTCGGCCATGTTGTCTGGTCTGATTGATCGCAAGAACCGTATGTAGTCGTCCGAGTGGAATTTGGTCATCTCTTCCGCAGTGGCTTTGTGGGGCCTCTGCATAATACCAACGGTATCACGTATAAAATTAAATCCACGTATCCACTACAGACTTACGTAGATTTCCATTTTTCTGTACAGTCCGTAGTTGAGAAGCAAGTTGTGCGTCATACGAATGCGGTGGGGCTTCATAGGATGGCCCTGGCCGTAATAGTAATTGCCTATATCGCCTGTGTTGTGAACAAAACATTTTAATGACCATCGGAAATTATTCAAAAACCCACGACCGATTAGGACAAAATCGTCGAGCTGCCGTACTTCGTAGCGTCATCCTTTCCTCGCTTTCTCGCGCGACCAATCGGACGACAGCAAAAGTACGGTAGCTGGATAGTCGGCCGTGAATTCGTGGCGTTACAGTTTCGAAAACAGTACGCGGCGATGGGTTAACATGAAGGTGTAATTTACGACCCCAAAACGAAAGATTTATAGACGAAATGACCCACCGAACAATCGGAATAACTCTGATGATAAAACGTCCATGGCAGAACACACGCGGATTAATTAAATTCAATACTCACTGTCGTAATAATAACAGACCCTCTTACGGCTATGGGGCTGGGTCGCCATTTTTACCACACAACACACACCTGCTGTAAAATGTTAAAGATAACTTATTTTTAATTTAATTAATGGCAAAAACTTTTAAAATTAATTAATGCACTAATAAAATCGGCATCGACTACGTGCGATGCCCTTTGCAAATGGATGGCGCCAGGCTGACCAACTTTACGAAAATTTAAAGGCAAGTAACGGCGAGTGGTACCATTGCAAGCATTTACTTTTTTATGGAACGTTAATCGTTAAACGAATTATCGATATATTTAATGGCAAATCTGCCCAAACTCATTGCTTATTTGATTTTTCTTCAACTCATGAAGTCCTGTTAGAATTACAGTTAATAGCTGTTTGTGGTCTGTGGTGCCGTTGGTTTGGTGTGTGTGTGTGTGTGTGCTGTGACATTTCCGTTGATCTGCGCTTTAATTATTTCTATAGATATATTTTTAAAAATAAGTGTTCCTGCTAATGATAATGTACATCACGCCAAAATGTCCTTAATTTTATTTATGTAAAATCATTGCCACTACGTGAGCACGCATGCGCGTTGCGAATAACTGACCTGCTGATCGTCTCCATAATTAGTCATCATTTATTTTGTGTTGTCGTACGTGAGTGTTTGTAAACATCATCTGTTGTCGACGACATTTGGCCTATTAAAAAAAAAGGAGCCACGCGGTTTCCTTTTAAATAGAATGCACACTAGTTTTCGAAATGGTAAGTGACTTTCTTTGGGATATATGGCCTTTGTGCTGTCAGGTCATTTGTACCTGATGTTTCTCGACACACAATACGCATCTGCGTGACATATCGTCCTTGTTGTAGAGCGCAATAGAAGCGGACGACCAAAATTTGTTGGGTTCGTTGCAAAGGCTCGAATTAGACAGGCCTAAAACGAAGGGCGCAGGCCAGGACAACAAAGCCAACCCTTTCAACAGCTTCCGCAGAAGATCGAGGTCCCTGTCCAGCATTAACTTCGGGTCAAGCTGCAAGTGTTCTAAGAAGTCGGCCACCGTGAAACATACCACTTCCTTCAAAAAGTCTACGAAGAAGATCCTGCGCGAGCCCGTGCTTAAATTTATTAAATGTCATGGGGACAAGTGCGCAGAGAAACCCAAAAAGTTGTTCGGTCAGTGTACAAAACACGCGGAAAAGGACTTCAAGTCGCTCGTCGATGCGTGCGAACATTTAACGCTGGGCAATGCCCAGATTAGAAAAAGGTATTCGGGTCCATGTTTTCTAAATGTTAGGACATCGATCGGGGGCGCCAAGCCCGAGAACGGCTCCGCCAACATGGCTAGCTGTTCTCACCAGGCCCGCATGAACTCGCTGCCGCCATGCGACGTTACCATCGACGAGCTGGCCAGTTACTTCGAGACGTCGGTTCATATTCCTAAAAAGATGAGTACAATGGCTGAGATGATGTATATTTAACGTTTCTTTGTGATTATAATTATATCCCGCCACCTTTTATTATTTTAGTTTATTGTAAACTTCCGCGATCAAGATCTGTTTGCTTTCATTCGGTAAACCATTGAAATAAAAAATTGTGTTTACTTGCCTTTTTTATGCAACACCTTACGCAAATACAACAATTCGAAGCAGCGTGAACACGATTGAGACAGGTCAGGCGGTGACGTCACAAACATCCATCCCTTATATAACGTGCCGACCATTTTTTAATTAGAACTTCGATCTGCGGCTCAAACGCGCAATGTTCAGTTAACCGAACAACTACGTTGACTTTGAAAGCTAAACACTCTTAATTTGCGAATAAGTCGAGAACATTGAACACACGTTTTCCGTGGTTTGGCAAAGTTGTTACGAGTGGGCCATGGAAATCCCGAAATGCATTTCGCGGTACCAGTTTTTCAGTATGGTGGTTATCGCAAATTTGTAAGTTAAATTTGTCCGTTTCGCCGATGAATAGTGTAGTGTAAAGTGCTTTGATATTCGGAAAAACCATCTCGCAAGAAATTAAGGTAATTTTATTCTTCGGTCTTCGATCGTTGCGTTCTTGGTTAATTTGAGCCAAGGGTTGTTTGGATTATGTAATTGGACTGGGGTATGGTAATTGAAGCGCAAAACTAATACAAAGACATTTATTAATATTTTTCAATATTCTTATAATAATCTTATTATAAACAACTATTTCTATATACAATGCAACGTGGTACAATGATTACACTGCATCATTGGTAGTGTTCCATAAAAAATTTCATTTATTTTTCTTTTCTAAAATATAAACAAGAAACCAAGGTAGAATCGATAACAAACTCTATCACAAGAGCAATTTTTCACACCAAAATTGGTAAAAACAAAACGCCAGATCCGGCCGGGCCCACGGCAAACTTCCGCATGACATTTTTTTCGCGTCACATCGACTAGTGGCTTACAATTAGAAAAGGTACCGCCGCGGCCCGTCCGGATCGTTGCTGTTCTCATTGTTCCGTAATTATCTCAGTTCTTTCGGCAACCAAAGTACTACCGGTAGTTGCGTGAGGTCCGTCAGTAGCTTGGTTCGCCTCGGTAAAGAAATTTAACATATAAAATTATCACTTATCACCGTGTATCTGTTTTTGATCGTCATTCTGTTTGGCGGACGCTGTTAAACGTTTTCCCATGCTGCGCATACGGCAAAAGGAGCGAGAAAACTATATATTCTAATCGAAACTGGCGCAGAAAACGTTATTGCTCGTAGAATTTTATAGGTAATTCATTTATATTTATATTAGACGCGTCTTGAGTGACACAAATCTAGTTGCGTGTGAATATTGGACAGTTCCTCTTTATATAAATCTCAAAGTATTTTCAATTGTTTTACAATCTGGTTCCCGCAGCTGCAGTAATGTACTACTAATCTATGTTGTGTAATAAATTATTTTTTGATTGCTTCGCTAGGTTTCAAGCGGAATTTGAAATATATTAATTTTCTTTAAAATTTTGTTAAAACTCTCGTTGCTCTGCGTTGTTGCTATCCCAAATTATCTTCTTTTAATATTCCTATATTTTCTTGCAAGTAATTGGAGTGATTGGTGCTGACCGGAAAGAATTTTTTATATACTTAGAGGGTATTCATTTTTCTAAACAATCTTCATTGCACATTAGAAACATTAGAAAATTGGTAAAGCAAGTGGTAAAAGTGTAAACTTTTAACAAGATGTAGAGAACGTTATCAAATTGAAGAAAGGTTAATGAAAAATTTTTTTTTTGGATTGAATTTGAATTAAAATAGGATAATAGAAAGAGTTTCACGCTTATTTTGCCGCATGTGCGCCGTCGAAGCGATCTAAAAAGAAAAACGTCCAACCCCGAACGCCCCACCCGAATTCCTCTGCACAACATTTAAAATTACCACATAAAAATTCTTCCGTAAAAAAAGTAATAAAACGCGCAGGCACAAAGCGTGCATGGGAAGTTTGGATGTGAAAAAAAGGCGTTCACTTAACAAGTCGTTATTATCGTTACTTAGTCGTTAGAAAAATCAGACGGTAATGTGGACGTTTATAGTAGTAGAGGGAGGCTGCTGTGCGCGCCAGAGCGTTAAATTTTAGTGCCTTTTTTGATTTTTTTTTGTCTTTGGACTACGCTACGATTACTAAACATTACTCTCACTAGAATTAGCGAATAATCTGCGATTTCTAAAAAACGAAAACGGGATTTCTCTATATCGCGCCCGGAGGGGGAGGAGGCGGAGGCGTAGTCGCCCTATATACTAGTTATACCCTTCTAGGTTTTTGTAAATCGGTATTCCGCTACGGCTTTTGCCTACCTACTGTCATCTAGCCGCGCATAGGTTAGGCCTAGTTAATGTTTTTAACGAGTTTGTTTCTTTTTACTGTCGGTTCGTTTGAACTACTCGCGAAACGATTGGTCTCTGCGGGTCACGATACCACTTTGTACATTTCTAATTGACGCGGGTATACTTCGGGTGTCCCGGTAACCCCGCGGGACTGCAAAGGGGTCGCCCTGATGGATAGAAGTCGCTTTTCATGAAAAAACGGTCATTTTAAACATACGTCACAAATTGGGTGAAAGTAAAAACCAAAAATCCCTTTGGCATCTAAAAGATCTGATCTAAAATCTGATTAAAAAGTATAAAGTTATATTAAAATTAACAGTTTAGGAGAAAAGGTGAAAATTAAAACATGGTCTCCGATGTTTAAAAAAATGTGAATAAAATTCTGTGAAAAAGGTAATGATACAATTTTTTTTTCTCGGAACTTCAATTCTCTGTTTCTTGGGTAGAAGGAATTCAGGAGGGAAGGCACAATAAAAAAATATCAGAAGAGAGGGACATTTTTTTAATTAAATTGTATATATTAAATTAAAATAGTCAAAAATGAGTTTTGACTAAATTTGATGAGAAAATAATTAACACCCTACACGTCTGGAGCAAAGCAATTTACGACACCTGTGAATATGGGCTTTTATCACAAAAAAAAACCGTTTCCTATCACTTTGTCTCCAAAAACTCGGTCCGCTCTGTACATTATTGCAGATTCGAAGTCGAATTCGGAATTTTGAAGCTTTGTATTTTGTCCTTATCCAAAAACCTTACTTCTCTTTTCCTTATACCGTCATCGATATTGGAATTTTTTCGTTTTATCGAATTTTTGCGATGTTACGATGCGATGGGACACCCTGTATTTTGTGTGCCGTTCTGCGAGTAGTCGCCGGGACCGGTCTAGTTATTATTCGTCTAACTATTGCCCTTTGGCACTTATACGTTTGGCTGCGAACTTTGTCTCGTGTATAATAAATATTTACACCGGAAAAGTCGTTGACGGGTTATATACAGAAACAAATGGCGCCGGTCTACGCGGGAAAAAATGAAATCCCCTCAAAGCCGCTCCCGCAACCCTTACACCTAACCGTAGAAATTTATACAGGGCGGTTAACCTTAAGATTGACCGCCGAAGTAATTGAGCACCGTGGAAGGAATGATTTTCATTTTTTTTTTTCAAACCCCTCTCTCCCTGGCTATTTAAAAGAAAAATATTTTAAAACCGTGCGATCGCATCAGCTCGTTCAATTCCGTGTTGGCGTCCGGGAAGAAGCAGCCGCCGCGCCGTCTAGCGGCAATTTTACAAAATAGCTTTGGGTTACGCGCACGACAGCCGGCAATCGCGACGTTGCCGAACTGTCGGATTTTTCCGGAAATAAAAGTAAATGTCGCGGCGTGGCGAGGAAAGTATTTCGCATAGAAAAGAAAAAAAAATCCTAAACCTAACGGAAACATTTTTGTTTGGCGCGCGCGCCCGCCGTTTTCCGTTGAACGTTGGGGGCGGGGAGCGGGGGCGGGCGTGTGGTCTGATTGCGTCGAGATGGGCCGCCCGGTCACTGTCCGAAAAATTTAATTCCTGAGTTGGACCGTTTCGGCTTGTTTCATTTGACCCCGGAGTACTGCTCGGTATACAGGTGCACGCCTTCCACCGAGAATATTGATGCGTCTGAAACAACGATTAAATGTTAATAGGGCTGGTTTCCATGTTTCAAAGCGATTTTTTTTGGCCTAGCTCTTATCTCAGCCTAATAAACTACAGAAATGAGCGGGGCAACAACCTCAAACACCATAATAAAGTGCCGCTTGTGTCGAGGGATGATGGGATAGCAGAGCGTGTGTATTGTGTAAATATTCCGCGAATTCTAAGGACTTACCAAATAGTAGTCTGCGTGAGAACCGTTCTCATTTTGAGGTAAGTTTATAGCACTGGCAACAGACAGACCAAGTGTGAAAACTCTGATAGAAGTGCGACACTTCCTTATCTCAGAAACTGTGGCAGATCGAGCCAAAAGTTGTATAAAAAAATTAATTGGGGATTTACAAATCTTCAATTTTTTTAAATGTTGTATATACGGGGAGTTTCCTTTTTCGTGAGCAAGTATCAACTTTCTTATTTTAAATGGAACACCTGGTATACTATTTCATTTTTAAATTCTATACATTTATACATATATATTTTTTTATGCGAAAAATGACGTTTGCAAGACTTAAAATGTCTGCCAATTTCTTCATTCGGAAGCATTTATTGTTTCTCTTGAGTAAGTTTTGCTGTAGACAAAAGACTCGAATAACGCATTTCATAAGAAATTTCGATACATATTAATACAGGGTTCGCGAAAAATAAGATTAGAAATGAAATTAAAAAAACTGCCAAAAAACTTTTTTTTTAAGTCACAAATAGTGCCATATAAATTCAGTTAGTGTAAGGTGGCTATGACGGCGTTTAAACAAAACAAGTGCTAGGACGCTGCCTCTTGGACGTGTGTTTTGTTGTTGATATAATTTTTTGAAACATTACTGATTTATTTATTTATTGTTTATAATTTTAATTTATTCGCCTGCTTGCGTATCGTGTTTATCACAGAGGAATAGATTGATATGATGGAAAGTTACATATTGAACAATAAAAACCGGACCCTGTTTCTTAGAGATTGTCATATATTGAATGATGAAGAGCAACTTAATATTTTGTTGCATTTTGCAGAGACTCCTGAAGAGTCAACCTGAAATGCGTTTTTACATCCAGATGTGAAAAGAAAAACGCTTTGAACGTGCCTTCAAATAAACAACTGGAACACATATAAATTCTTGTGGAAAGACACTTTTCAGAAAATATATTTCTTAATATTATTTAAATAAATAAATATTTATTTACTACTTCAACTAAAATTACTCATTACTAGAGCAACAAAAATAATAAAAAACATATGAAGTTACAGGATCAGGTAGAACTTCTGTCCAACTATGGTGCGCCATTTGGAGGTTCAGAATAATAGGTCTAGTATTTTTTGATGAGAACTTAAATTCCCAACGCTACTTAGAGCTTTTAAATATTATCCATCCCTTTGTTGAAAATGAAGTGCTTGAAAGGGAACGACAAAACTTAATTTGGTAGCACGATGGCGCACCTTACACACAAGTCAAGAAATTAGCACCTATTTAAATGCACATTGAGAATGGATTGGCGAGAATAGTAGTTACGCCTGACCTCCAAGGAGCCCCGACTTAACTCCCTTAGATATTTTTCTGTGAGGTACACTTAAAGCTTTAGTTGACAAACAGAATCCGTCGACAGCCGAGGAATTTAAACGACGGATAAGAGAAGGTATCGAATATGTAAATGGGACTGAATCTGTTAGAAATACGATTATGTATTTAGGAACCCTTTATTACTACTTGTATTGCTCGAAGTATTGAACAACTGTTAAAATAATTATTAGCTTTTGTAAATTGTAAATTGGACAAGATTATAAAAATAGGTAGTTTCCGTTTGAAAAAAAAAGTATTTTGACGGTTTTTTTAATCTTATTTTTCGCGTACCCTGTATTAATAGGTATCGAAATTTCTTATGAAATCCGTTATTCGAGTCTTTTATCTACAACAAAACTTACCCAATGAAATAATAAATGCTCCCGAATGAAGAAATATACCAAGTAAGTAATATACCAAAATAAGAAAGTTGATACTTGCCCACGAAAAATGAAAACAACAATTAACTTTTGGGTCCATCCCGTATAGTTTCTGATAAACGGCCCACCCTCAATATTTTTAGAGTAAGAAGAACTGAGCAATTTGTTACGGAGTTGAACCGCTGTTATAGAATCAAAGTTTCCAATAGTAAATGACGGAGTTGTCGAAACTAGAGCCTTTTCAATTTCTTAAATTACCTCGACCTATATTTGGAGTTTATTGCGACCTTACCGTCGGGCAGTTCCAGCAATTTCCTGGGCAGCCCGTCGAAGTAACGGTGCGTCATCGCGTCGTCCGCTCCTAACCTCCTCGCGGGGTCGAGTTGTAGCAAACCGGCGGCCATCGCTTCGCCGTGCACTACGTCGTGTAGCCGGGGCCAGCACAGTCCGAGCCTGCGCGGCTTGTAATTGCCTATCTTGTGGAGTTTGTAACCGGGCAGACGAGTACACCCGGGCCAGTCCTCTTCCGCCGGCGTACCGAGCACTTTAAAAATCTTATCGAGTTGATCGTAGGTGTCCCGCACCCCCGGAAATATCGCCACGCCGGTGATCATCTCGACGAATATACAGCCGACGCCCCACATGTCCAAACTGGTCGAGTACTCGGTCGAGCCGAGAAGAACGTCGGGCGGCCGGTACCAAAGGGTGACCACCTCGTGACTAAAACGGAACGGGAAAACGCGTTGAAATAAGAGGGCAATTCATGACCTTTCGGGCGAACCTGTAGGTGTGACTAGGCACCGATTTTGCCCGGGCCAATCCGAAGTCCGCGAGCTTCAGCTCGCCTATCTCGGATATGAGCAGGTTCTGCGGCTTGACGTCACGGTGCAGGACGAGCCGCTTGTGGCAGTAGGCGAGGCCGCGCAGCAGCTGGAAAAGAAACAGTCGAACGTTGCGGGGGTCCAGCCCGCCGCTGTGTCGCTCGAGGTACTGGGAAAGGTCCGTGTGCTGAAACAGGGGACTCTTTAATGGAGACTGTAGGAGTGACCAAAAAGACAATTCGATCATTATATACAAATGCCCATTGGTGCGTCAACTTTAGTGGAAGGATCAGTTTTATTTTAAACAGTTTTCTGAGGGTAAATGAGTGACGGAATTTTCATGTTTGATCAAGCTAGATTGTTGGCTATAGTCATAATGGATTTTTTTCGGTTGGTGAGCTCTCAGGTGAAATGTAAACTGTGAAGCGATTGTTTTTGTTAGGGATGGGTATCTAGGTTTTTACGAAGAGATCGCTATGTTGACCGCGATGTCTAAAGCCGGTTCCAGACGAGTAACCGAACCTCGTAACGTAACATCGTTGCGAACCAAGGAAATTTTCGAAACGTACGCACGACCGAACCGAACCTCAGACAATATTTAGAGTACATTTTGGCGAGCCGTTTTTAATTTCAGTTTGTTTTTGACGTCGGGAAGTAAACACTACGATATAGAAGTATATTTATATGGCGTTTTGCTTTAAAAACTAAGAAGAAAATACAAAGGCGCTGGTGGCCAATGCATTATCTTTCTAAAAGGGATCAACAAAGTTTACTGCGTGATTTAAAATTTCGGTCAGTTAGTGGAAACTATAAAAATTTCACCAGGATACCAATACCAATATGAGAAAGGCTATTTCAGTACAAGATAGATTGGCAGTGACATTACGGTTTTTGGGGATACGTATAGAAGTTTGCAGTATCTTTTTAAAACTTCCAAACAATCTAGATGTCTGCCAAGCGTTAGTGGAAGAATTAAAAGACAAAAAATTTATTAACCCTGACTTAATTTTTGAAAACAAAACCTATTCTTCAGGCAAATTATAAGCTAAAACTCATTCTGAATTAGAAATTAATGTATCTAACTTTTAGTAAAAGATATTAAACTTACAATGAAAGCAAGTCATCAATGCTTTGACTCAGAATGGCCAGAGAATGCAGGACTATGGTTTAAGTGTATGAAAGGGGGGATGGGAGACGAAACTAAAGTGGTTTCAGAGTTTGGTGAAGGAACTGGAGGTCTAGTCAGTGTGCTAGTACATGAATTTTTTCTTTGAGTTGTTGGGTAATGTGAAGATTCATTAGGTGACTTATAGAAGTAATTAGGTGGCCGAGGTGACTGATAGGAATGTTGAAAATGGGATTCATGTGGAGACTGGTGACGTGCGGAAAGGTCCTGATGTTGCTGTTGTTGGCTATGAGAATTTAATGGCAATCTTTACATATTGTGCTATCTGAGAAGAACAATAGCCTAGTTCAGAGGACATATATATCACTTCATCGAGTACTTTCCAGTTCTTTTAGTGAAATATGGATGTTTCGAAGGTTTTTTCTTTCGACCACTCCATTTTTACAGAAGAGCGGTACTCTCGTGCATGTCGATAGGTGGTTTTTACAAGACTAAACAATTAAAAAGTTCGATTCGTGCAGACGAGCGTCATTACTTCGAGGGTTCCTTTGATGGTTCGTCAGTTTACCGACAACCGACGGTTCGCTGCGAGCGATACGCTGTAAAATTTTAACATAGCATTTTGATACAGGATGCGGTTCGGAATGCCGTCCAAACTGAACATAAAATGTTACGCGAGCAGGTTACGTTTCGAGGTTCAGTTACTCGTCTGGACCCGGCTTAAGAGTGCGATGCGGAAAATTGATGGGATTAATATTTATCGCCGGTTAAGAGGCTCTTTATGGATCGATGCTTAGGCCTCTCTGTACTGTGTTAAATTTTAATGATGTTTAGAAGAGCAGGTTTTTTTTTTTCAAATGATGATGGGTTGATCTATTGTCAATAGGCATTTAGATTTATTTTCGCGAATCTTTGGCATGAACTCTTGTTGAGTAGGCCTTATTTTAGTTCCGACATTGATTTAAGTGCTTCATTAGATCATTGATTGTGGGTAGTTAAAGCGATAGAAACATGTGTCGTGATTACAACATATTGCCGCCATAGTTTTCGCAGCAACAGGTGAACTCGCGAGTTTTTATGTTGTCCAATCGCGACCCCGGGCATCCACCACGTTTCGAAATGCGCGGGAATTTTGTTGGACGTACCACGGAGTATCGCGACTATAACTTACCACGTATTCGAACACGAACGTAAGCGTTTCCTTGGTGTGAACGATATCGTGCAGGGTGACGATGTTCGCGTGTTTCAGTTCTTTGAGGAGCGAGGCCTCGCGGATCGCTGTGAACGGCGCCCCCTCTTCCTCTTGCAGTCTAATCTCTTTCAGCGCGACCACCTGGTTTTGCAAACTGGAAAATGCGAAAACGTTTTTAAATATATCCGACGCCCGGCGCCCCATTCGTCGCGTACTCACTTGCTAAAACCTTTGTAGACGGTGGCGTACGAACCCTCTCCTAATTGTTCTAACTTAATGTAAGCCTCCGACTTGCCGAACGGCGAGTCGCCCTGCAAAACAATAGATCGTGAGTCCAAAACGGCTAATTTCTTTTTATTCAATACGTTCGTATAAAAACGGACCGTCATCAATTTCCTCCCGATCCGGCGGTGGTGGTGGGGGGAGCCGTCCAATGTCCGACCCACTCGCGCTTAATTGAACACGAAAAGTCGTTAACTAATACGGACTCCTACCCTCCATCGACTCTCGCAATTATGGTGGACATTGTGCGAGCGACACCATGACACGCGAAAATCAAGTCGTATCAGCCTTTCTGACCGTCGATCCGATTATTATCATTACGTGCGCAAACAAGTAATTATTGGTTGTCAATATTCCTGATTTGAACGCACTGCGTAAAGCGGCACTTACGATTTGTTTACAAAAAGTAGTTAAAAGTATGTTCATAGATATAAGAAAGTGACTAACTGATACGGATTAATAGAATTATTTTCTATTACGGACCACAATTTTACCTGAATTTAAATTCCGAAACTTTAGTTAATAATCTTGTTTCATTGTATGTTAATGACCACCCTTGGATAATCCCATTCAAAAGCAATTGGTCACTTTCTTATATCTATGAACAGACCATACTAATAATTTATTTAATACTGTCTAATGCTGTTTTTTTACCAAATTTATGATCGAAAATAGTCCAAATAGGATCATTAAATTGATAAGGCTGCTTTTATTTCCCGAAATAGAAAAAAAACAGCTATGATCAATCGGAGAGGCCCAAGGCTCCGCCTCGAACACTCCTCCGTTCACCGGGCCAATACCGAGTGGGTTCGGCAATCGAGGCTCCGCCCACAGGCGTGCCCATTCGTTTCGATTGGCGCTTACCCCGAAAGCCGAGTACCGTTTCGTCCTCCGGTGGTCGCTCTGGCCCTGCTGATTAAGCAGCACCTCCGATTTGGGCCGGGGCGGTTTCCGCGGCCTCAGGATCACCTTGGTCTCCTCACGGATGTCGTCGTCGAGCAGTTTACTGTCGCTCGACACCGACAACTGCCGTTTCACCCTGTCGTGTCCCGCCACATTGTTCCATTCTGAAAAGGGTACATAAGTTTAACCCTGGCAGTTACGATCGGCCATTTTTTAGACGGCGGCGTCGAAATATTTTGCTCGGCATTACGAGTTTTAATTTCCATCCCGTCCTCGAGATAACTCCCCCCCAAAGACCCCCGTTTATATACATTTCATGCACAAGGCTGTCTCCGTTGCCGCTGTAGTAAATTATACATTTAAATGGCGAGCTGGCGGAAGAGGAAAAAGGAAATTAAAGTTGGCGAGTAGCGCGGGCGGGCATTTTGTCCGATTTGTAAACAGGAATTTGGACGCGAAAGGGGGTTGATAAACGGTCCCCCGCTACCGTCGAACAACGCGTTGATTGCGTCGCACTTTCTAAGCGGGACATGTAGTTGGTCGTTGGTAACATTTTAGAAAAGAAACCATTGTAGGAAGTGGTTAGTTGTTTTTTTTTAACCCGACCCTAGTTGACTTAGCACATGGGCTGATTTCAAGATTTTTGGGGTCAGCTATAGTTTAATATCACCATAATTGATTGATTCTTTGGCTCTTCAGGATAATCTAGATTGTGAATCTCTTTTGGTGGTGTTTAAAGATCGTACCAATTCAACCTACACATGTCATAAAAATTGAATGGATATTAATAGAAGTATACTGAAGTCAGGAAATCCTTTCAAGGTAGAGTCTGAGAGAGTGATCCAAAACTTGAAAAATTCAAGTAGCTAGTTCCGCGCGTATTTTCTAAAATCTTTGAGGCTTTTGTAAAAGAAAGAGAGTCAGTTAGGGTTTCGGGTAAATCGCACCCTGAGGCACACGTAGGTCCAGTTTTCTTTAATTTGTTTATAAGAGATCTGAGTGATGCGGTTCCTTATTCTGAACATCTTGCCTTTGCAGATGATTTTAAATTTTACAAAACAATTGAATCATTTATGGACGCTCAGCTTCTTCAGAGTGACCTTAATAATGATAGTTCGTGGTGCAGAGAAAATGGTCTGGATCTAAATGTTGGAAAGTGTTTTAGTATGACTTTTTCTCGCTTAACTAACACCCTTCAAAATAGATATATTAACAATACAACGATAGAGTGTGTCACCAAAGTTAGGGACCTTGGGGTCATCTTTGACAGTAAACTGACCTTTTTGGATCAGCTGGAGGATATTGTTAACAAGGACATGAGAGTTTTATTACCCGTAATAGTACACTGCTCTCATCCGACTATTTTAAAACCCTTTATTGCTCCTTAGTAAGATCTACGCTGGAGTATGCACCAGTAGTATGGTCTCCACATTATAGATGCCACATTGATAAATTACGTAGCATATTGGGCAATAACTTTCACATTAATTATGTTCTGATATGTGAGCCTTTTGGCATAGATAGTCTGGAAATTAGGAGAACCCACTCTTTACGTTTTATAAAATTTTGAACGGTGTATATGACTGTCCGGCTCTCCTCCAGTCCATTGATTTTAACATCTATCAAAGACGTCAGAGCTCCCCAATGTTTTGTATTTCATTTCATCACGCCAACTGTGGGGCTATTTTCTCGTTTAACTCGAACGTTGAGGTTATTTAACAATTGCCCTCTTGATCCGTTTGCTGGCGGTCTTCGACTATTTAAGATAAAATTAAAACAGGTGGTTGATTGTGGTTGTAGCTAGTGTGATACTGGTTGTTTACTGTTTCTAACTGTTTTTGTGTTTTTATATGCTTTAAATGGTTATTTATTTATTAATAGTTGTTTTGTCATGCTGCTATTTATATCATATTTATATTGTTACTTTATCTTTGTAAATTGGCTCCGCCGTTGACACATAAATAAATAAATAAATAAGTCAACATTCAAAGCAATTATAGCAATTCTAGAAAAGGTTTTGGAAGCTATGGATGGTAAGCCTATGTCCTGTATGACGTTGTTGGATCTTTAGAAGGTAGTTAGGTAGTAGGTAGGTAGTTAGGTTGGATCTTTAGAAGGTAGTTAGAAGGTAGTTGAGTTAGCCGTGAGTTTCTTGTAACCAAAATTTTTTTACGGTATAAGGGGTCACAGTTTGTTTTTTTTTTTAATTTTACCTTAACAATAGACAACAAATCGTTACGTTACCTAACGGTGATGTTTCTGAACCACAATTTAATGACACAACAATACTTAATTTGGGTAGAACCTAGTCACGTCATATCTGCAAGTTTCGTGCCAATCGTCTTAAATTGAATGAAAATAAATCAGAGGTTGTCTTTTTTCCAGGTACATCTGACGTTAGCTCTCACAACGCTAAACTTCTGGGTGTGTAGATAAATAGTAGACTCAACTGGCACGTACATGTAGATATGTTGACCGGGTGATTAAGCAAAGTTACAACTTTCGAGACAGCTTTAATGATATCATATTATCATCATTGTTGTGGGGAGACTCTTGAGGAGTAGATCTTTAAAATCTTAAAAAAAAATGTTGGAATTTTGTAAAGATCACTGTAAGCCAATATTTTAAAAATTGAAAACACTAACTTTCTCTTCAATTTTTATCAGTGCATGACGTATGTCCATGTATCATCATCGTGTAAACGAAACTCAATCGTGCATTCACTTCACCAGCAACTCTCAAAAACACCTGTTCCTCAATTGAATTTACAAAAAGAACTATTAAACACATTTAATCCAAAGAATGCTATAATAACTATAAAGATTTTTTTGAATGCAACTTTGAGAGTTACATGATCTCTGAATTTTAGATTGTCTGTATATGTGCAAACTGTTTGTTACATATATTGTATGTTTACTTAGAAAACTTATACATCAATTATTATTATTATTATTATATGACTAAGGCGCGTTCCAGAGTGAGGATCTCAGTACATGTTCCCTTTCGGTTTTACTTTGAGGTGTTCCTTTCATCGATGGTTTGATAGGTTTAAAGGTTTCTTTTGATTTCAACCATGTAATCAGTATGGTAATCGCATCCGGTGTTCCTCACCTTGGACCTGTTCCTTCTATTCAATTAATATATTTCATCAAAATTGAATTGTTATAAATAAACACATAGGTTCCTTTATCCGAGCATTTAGCAATATGGCCGGCACGGGATGTCGTCGCTTTGACGGGTTTGAATGTTTTCCGCGTAATTGGTTCCGAAGGAAACGCGGCCTCGTCTATGATCGAACAATCGAAAAGATTTCGCAAGAAAAATGGATGGGCTGGGATGATACGTACGAAACTTCCGGTTCACTTAGCGCGAAAACCTCCTCTCCGAAGGGCGTCGTGCCCGGAGCGACGAGGTGGGGTTGATACGGACACGCGTAAGAACTAATGAAAAATCAATCGCGAGTTTGTTACTTCGCGTGTCTGTGTATGTGTGTGTGTTTGAGAGAATCGCCCTGGGGATTTCCGTTGTTTCCTTCTGCGTTTTCCGAAGACCTTCGCGGACCACTTCCAAAGGCGTTAGTGCCGAGTTAAATTAAAAGGACGATTAAGCGCCGGGCAACATCGTTTGACCCGACTACTTCGACTAATTGCTTTTTTTCCCTTCTCAATTGGTCGGGGTCCTTCGCCGGCGACGAGCAAAGCTTAGCGAATCGAAAGTATAATTTGGCGAAGGTGCCGGATAAATCGACACCCTTATAAATACTGCTTTACGATCTGGCAATCCCGTTAAGTTTCATTTAAAGATTGCTTGAAAAATATTGATAAGTAAAGACAGGGAAATGCAAGATAAAGATAAACTTTTCAAGTCGCGTCTGCACAAAAAAATGCGGCCGCAGGCGGGACACGAACTCCAGAAATTTCGCGATATAAATGCCGGACAGGTGGCGCGGATTAAATGAGACGTCGCGAATAAAAATGCGGATTTAAAAGGGTGGAGAGGAGAAGAAAAAAAGGGTCGGACGGCAGAGAATCTCGAGCAGCGTTTAATTATTCGATTTCCGGCCGTTTTTCCTTTTTAAATTCGACGCGGATTTTTCGGATTTAATTGACTGCGCCAGGTTGGCGATCTGACACGAATAATAAACACCCCCTCCCCCCCGAAACCGTCGCTTTTACCGAATAAAAATTGTTATTCGCGATTATACGTCGCTATGAATTTAAGGGTCGCCAGTGGGGGAGAATTTCCTCATTTCTCATCGGAAACGTCTAAAATAAGACTCACGTTTATCGAAAATGTACAAGATGTCGTAAAATAAAATGAAGCTAAGATCTGCCTATGACTGTTTGAAAGTCATATATAGTAACAGACACTATCTCTGCAAAACAACTCGTAAAGTGCTTTTTGATGCGCTCATGCCGTCCCAGTGTAGGGATTGAAACCGACTATATTTTCCATTATGCACTTAACTTCATTTTGAACCAATTTTTTCGCGTGGTATTATAGTAATAATAATAATAATAAAAAATTGCCTTTTATGTTGTATATTATTATATACAAATATACAGTAGAGAAGAGGGCACTTAACCTCTTAAGTTATATTTACTTTGATAAACTAAATATAGTATAATAGACAAATGTAATAGTAATATGGAACAATAGAGAGTTATTAAAAGTAAAAATAAAAAGAATAACATTGAAAATCAAATTATTTGAGAAGTTGGCAGTTTCAACCTGAAATATTTATTAAAGAATTTAATTAAATGTGATTTTACTGAATCGGGTATACCATTAAAAATTACAACAGCGTTTTAAGAAAATGATCTGCGGAATAAAGATGAACGATATCATGGCAGTGAGAGTCTCTTAAAGGTGTTTAAAGTAGGACGGATTGGATGTGTTAATAATTTGGTACTTCTTGGTTAATTAATGTGTGCATTAAATTACCCAATTAGCAAAAAGCAGGATGTGGTTGTAATCCTAAACGGTATAAAACAGTAGCTGCCTTCTAGATAACTGACTAGGGATGCTGTGTTCCTGTGTAATTAGAATTTGACGGTAACTCCCGAAATGTAGCTTTTGGAATGGATAATAGAAAACTGACTAAATATTTCCCACTATGAACACATTAAAAGTTTATGTGCAATTCATTAATCTTTTTTGCTATCACATAAGAGCAAAGTAAAAATAAAAAGAAAAACATTGAAAATCAAATTATTTTAATTTATTTTTTGTATTTTAATTTATACGAAAATGATCTGAGGAACAAAGGCAAACGATATCGTGGCAGTGAGTGCCTTAAAGCCACTGATTGAACATTACGAAACTGTAATTTGGCTCGTAAGTAGGACGGATTGGATGTGGAAAACCGTAGGCGCCAAAAAGTACAAAGTACTGTCAATTTTTAGCCAGTTAAGTTCCTGCATTTTGTGGGAAATCCTATTAAATTTACGCAAGCCGAAAATAAATATGCAACAGCTATTTTGAATTTTTCGCAATCTATATTTAATTAATATTATCAAGACATGGGTAATAGAGGACTAAACCATATTTCATAATCGAAAGGACAAGTGATTGAGCTAAAAGTTTCCGTAAACTGAAATTAAGGACAGTTCTATGCCTGTATAAATGGCGCAAAACCAAATGATACTTTTTCACCAGCAAAAATACATATTCCACGAATTAGAAATAAGTCGTGCAAATCCAAATTGATATAAATTGAAGCAATATCAGATAAATTAGTATCGAAGGAGTAAAATAGCTAAGTGTTATGAGCAAATGAATGCAAATGCAAATATTCGATGGATGTATAAATATCAGAAATATAAAATAAGAATAATATAGGTCCAAGGACAGAACCTTGCTGTACACCTGATGAAACAGGGAGAAATTCAAAAGTTACATTATCAATGGTAACTCTCTGATATCTGTTAGCTAAGTAGTTTTCAAAAAATCATTTATGACTTTCTCCAAAACTTTATCCAAGGTTGGTCGAAGGTATGAGAACTGACTGGGATGTGATTTTTTGCTAATGGTGTGATCAAAGCAAACTTCCAAAAATAGCCTCGTTGCAAACAGCAATTAATAATATATGTAAAGTATGGCGCGGTAACATGGAGGGTCATCTGAAGCATTCTAGCAGGTACACAATCAACGCCAGCAGATTTTGACTTAAAGTTTGAAATAATGGCTTTAATAGAGTGAATAGTTGCGATTTTTATAAAAAGAAGTTGTTTCGAGGCAAATGTTAATATTGCTAAAAACAGAAGTAAAATAATGTCACTTTGATTTTTTAACTTAGGTGGTATTTCCAAAGTCGGTCGGTTAGAAATTTTGATCATATTTAAAGTTTTTCCATATCTATTTAGAATTCCTAGAATCGAAATTGTATGACAAATATGCCGATTTTTCTTTACGTACCGCACCTGTAACAACATTCCTTATTTCTTTATAAGCAATGTAGTCAGCGATAGATTTGGATTTTTTATATTTCGACATCATTTCACGAATAGTATGTACTAAGCAAAGAATATAGGTTTTGGTGACCTTAGCGGATTCTCCAAATTAGAAAAGAAAAAAAATTTTGAGAAAATATAACCAGGATTTTAAATGGACTTTTGGGTCGCTATTATGACTAATTTAATTGTAAGATTAAATTTAACGTAAACTGCAGCGAAGAAAAAACAGATGCTGCCATCGTTTTAATTGAATTTCCTCAGTTCCGCATCCACCGCGGGGGTAGCCTGGCCAAACTTGTCGACCGCGCCGCCATCATGCATAATGCAAGCGAGCACCGCATTTTTCCCTTACGTTCAGTTTTTGTTCACTCCGATAGTTCGAAGATTTAATTAGTCGATTCTCTGCCGGCGGCACAGGGATGGGGAGAGAGATCCTGAAGTTGTTCAACTTGAGACTACGCGATCTTATCTACTCCCTACTCTAAAACACCCAATTGTGCGCTGATCGGGCGTGCGCAAAGTGTCACTTTAAAACGTCAGTTTCATTGAATATTGTCGCCAGTCAATTAGGGTCTTTCACATTGTCACACGCCATCCGGTGTTGCCTCGAGCGTTGCTTTGCAAAAACCCATCTAAAGACTAATGGTAGTTAGTAGAAAAACAGTATAACAGCAATGATTGAAATTTTTTTGCTTAATTTCGTTTTGAAAACATTTTTTTGTGTGAAATTTTGGTATTTTTTGCACCTTGGTGAATTTTATTATCATTTCTTATCATCTTCAGAGTTCGAATTAGACGATTTTTCACATGGATCCTAGAGTTCGCAAGATCTAGAAGACAATTATCAATTGTAGCAGGATAGTTTGTCTCGAATTTTCAACGATACGGCAAACTCAGTTAAATAGGTGTTTCTATTTTGGAGGTTATAGTATAGTTCTTTAAAAAATACGAAGGAGACGTCGTGAGAGCTCTCGTTGCACAAAAGAAACCTTTAAAAAACACAAAATACTCACACAGTAACATTTATATATTTCAGTAAGTAATCAAGGTAATCCCCGCCAGATATAATCTTTCCTCAATCCTCGGAGTACTTCTGGTAAGCACTTTCTGGTACAGCCCTGAGTTGCTCCAGCGACTTTTTTCTTTATCTCTGCTCAACAAGTCCAAACCTTCTTCCTTTCATGGGTTTCTTAAATTTTGGGAACAGGAAACAGTCACAAGGGGGTCATATTACCGGAATATGTGGGCCAAAAAGTTAGACACAAAATCCATGAATTGTTTTTCCCACAATTCTGGACGTTTTCTTCGTGGTACTTCTCGGAAACGGCGCAAGGTATTGACAGTATGACCTTGTGGCAAGGACTCTTGATATAGTACGCTACGGTCATTAAAGAAAACAGTAAGCAAAACCTTAACATTTCATCGATTTTGACGTGCTTTTTTCGGTGTTGGTGATATTCTGGGTTCTTCCATTGGGACGACTGCCCCCCCCCCCCCCCAAACCTGTTCATAAAAACAAATCTAAATTTGAAGCTATTGGAGCTTTGCAACATTTACATTTTTACATTATTACAACAAATTTAGTATTCGGTAATCAACACATTAAACAATCACCAATTTTTGCTAGTTTGAGAGTCCGCGATCCTCTTCCAGAAGAGTCAAAACATTGAAATGTTCAAGAATCACCTTTATACATTTTCATCTAACAGCATATTTTACTTTTTGTCATAAGTTTCAGTGTCACTGTTATTTGTCTCGTTTGTCGTTAATTTCTACTTTTTTTTGTACTGTTCGAAACTAAATGTCTGTCTATCTATCTATGGAACGCATCATAGTTAAGTAGACAATTTACTAAAAGTTGCGTCTATCCAATACTTTTGAGTTTGATGTTGGCCTAGGACCCTGAATTCATTGGTTAAAAACGCGATTTCAGTAATTTTGTCCGAAACCTAGAGTCCCAAATCTACGACCCGGCTCAGTTGAAACGCGCATTCCGCGTGTCAGATTTTGGCAAATCGTCCCAGTTCCTGCGGTTTCTTCGTCGCCCTCGCCAGCCGCGTTACTTCCGTCGTAAAGCGACGATAGATGGCGCCCGCGTGCGCGCGTGATGTCACCAGCGGCTCGTTAAACGTTAACGTTAAACCGGCATTGCAACATAACGCGCATAACGTCTAGGGGATAATGGGGGGGGGGGGGGGGGGGGAAGGTGTTGCTTACCGTATCTAATATCACGTTTGCTCGTGGGTATGTTGCCGTTGGGCTCTAATCGATCTAGGAACTCGTCGCTGTACCCGTTGTATTGGAGTTTGGTGCCGTGGTGATGGTGATTGTGCTCCTCCGCCTCCTCTTTCGAAACCGCTGAAACCAAAGGATCAGTTAAAATGGCGCGAATGAGACGGCTCAAGTTGTGTCGAAGGTTAATTCTGGCAAGCCTCTTCAAAAAGTTTTGTAAAACTACAATTCTTATTTGTCTTACGGTTGTATTTCAAAATTGTTTTATGTTTAAAAATTTTTCATTCTTACAAAATAAACAATAAATTGGAACAACACTACTTGATTAATCCATGGAAATATTAACCATATTGGATACTGGTACAGATAACGGTACAACTATATTCGTAATTTCTTTCCAGTTCTAAATCTAAAATCAGAAGTAAAGGCTTTTAACGAGGACAGGTTCAGTAACTCGGAGTTTGGAGTAAGATAATGAAATTTTGTTTTGTGATTTCCCGATTTGACTAAATTAACAATTTTTTTGAATTATTTCAAAAGGAAGTACCTGATTTAGCTTATTTATCTTTGATAATTACAATTGATAATTAAAATAATACCATCTAGTCGAGACTGACTTCTAAAGTGATTTCGTTACGGACTTGGTTAAAGGTATTAACAGACTTATGTTCTCAACAACTCCTGCGCTAGCCCGTAGCATATGTATCTATAAACAATGTACTTAATGCCCTTCTAAAATTATTATTACCCTTCAGAATGGTAACGGGAGTTCCCAAACCAAAGCTTTCCGACCTTTGGACGATGCACGAATAAATGTGTGTCGTAGCCGCCGCGGTTATGAAGAGCACGTAAAATCCGTTATAAACATGGCGCGCTCCCATAAATCTTCTCTTTCTATTTCGGAAAAAATCAAACGCGTTTACGAGGCCCTTTTATGAAAACGGCATCCGCCGCCCCCTTCCACTCTTAAGTGATATATATCTTTCTCGACGATATTCGCACTGTATGCACACACCGTCGGGCGCCACAGCCTAAACGCGGGGAAATCTGACGTGGGAATCTTGTAAAATTTACATAACACCCTCCATATAAGTCGTGGTGCGGGGAATTGGGCCGCCGGGTGAATGGTTTATAGTTTAATCAGTCAAAGTCCGCGGCGAAATGGTTTTTAAGTCAGTAGACGGTCGTAAAAGGGATATATATATACCATTCGATGACGAACAGCTTGGAATCGAGTCCTTTTTTAAGGTTTTGATTACTTTTTAGATCGGCTAATTTTTGTTGTTCTTATTACAACAAAAATCCGAACAAATATACCTTATATGGCGCAAATAGGTAGTCACTGATCAATGCTTAACATTAAAATGTAATATTGAATGTATTTATAAACAAATGAACAACAGAACAACTACCTGTTTCAAAATTGAAATCCTGCACATACTCTTAGAATTCCTTAAAACTTTGTCGACAAAGTAAAATTGGTTTTGCCAGGTGAGTCAGCATCCAAAAAATGATCCATTGCAAAATTTCCCAATACTTCATTTAGGTAATTTTTTCTATGGCGCACTAGTAGTTGCTTTAACACGCATTCGTAGGAACATTCGTCACACCTATAAATATTCTTTTCACTTGGGCTTTTGATGTATAGTTAAATGATTTTTAAAATAATATTTGTCAATAGTCTGAAACCCGCATGCGTTCATGCTTCTGTTTACCTTGATATGAAGACTTGTTACACTTGAAAGGTGTGTTTCATGAACCAAAGTATGTTTGTTCTTATGTAATGTCTGATAACTATAGTTGTCTTTGTGCTTCATTGTAATGTGAGTATTCAAGTATCTTTCTACAGGAGTCTTAAAAGCACTCTGTTCGAAATGAGCAGTTGTTACACTGGTAAATACTTTGTATTGTTGTATATATATATATATATATATATATATATATATATATATATATATATATATATATATATATATATATATATATATATATATATATTTTTTTTTTCTCCAGATGAAATAAATGGTAATCCCAAATCTATTGAGCAACCCACAAACTACTTAGTTAAATAATACAGATTAATACTAGTAGCATCAGCATATAAAAAATTAAATCCAGCATCATTTTTCCAAAATAGATGGATTTTTTTTCGTTTTTGCTTCTAATAATTATAAATTCTGATTCTTTGTACATTTTCAGCCCTTTGCATAACACCGGGGGTAAAATGAACCCCTTTTAAAATATAAAAAAAAGCAATTCCATATTATTATAACCGAATTATAATTAATTTATTGAAAGTGTTATTTTTTGGATAATTCTATGGATTTACCCTAAAGCCATAGCTTATTTTTTTAATCAATAGAAAAATAGTTACTAATAAGTAACGTATTTTCTATTAAATACTTTTTAATAAATAATTATAATTATTATATATGACATTTTAAATAGGGGAGAGTGGGGCACATCGGCCAGAAGCTTCGCCAAAATATGGGTAAATTTAGTTAAAGTTAGTCAAAAATAAATCTACTTGATGGTTAAAAGTAACAAAAAAAAAAGCTTAAGCGCCCGGCCTTGCCCCACCCTCTATATCAAAATCATAGACAAATGTTAATTGATCAAAATCATACAAAAGAGTTTTTGATCTTTACCGAGAATATATCTTTACCGGGAATATATGTGTGATGTTTCCATTTCCAGAGAGCTGCTGTTTGGATATTTCCAAATGTGAGTCTTGGGGATAATGATAAGATTTGTTTGAATATCATAGGCAATGATTCCATTATTTTTCTTTATTATTAATTTGAAGACCACTGGAGATATTTGACCAGAACAATAATAGTTCAAAAAATATACAGTCCATTTCAGAAAGGTATAGGTAGAGATATTAAGCGGATACTTAAGCCACTTTCATTAATAGGCATTGATTTTATTGTTAAACTTACTCTTTTTATGGAGTGTAGGTGGTACCACCCTTGTTTGAGTCAATGTATGGGTTCTCTGCCTATTGTTAAAAAAAAGTTTATTTTAACAGAACAAAAATTAGGCATCCAAGGCATTTTCTTCCCTTCTATAATGACACGCCGAAGTTCTTTTCGTCAGTTCTCTGATGGCCACTTTTTCAATGGCTTGGTTAGACAGTAGCTTGTGGTGTTTCATTTCAAATGTCGTATTGTGATTTAGTTCGCAATGATATGTAATGTTTTTCTGCTACATCTCCTCCGTATTTCGTGAAACGAGGTTGGTATAAATTTTCTGTACGTGGTAGTCCCTTCATTATCAAATTATCGTCAAATTCAGTATTCTTGGTGGTTATGTCTTGCTTTCCCCAACGTGAAGCTGTGTCATACAATGAATCATTTCACTAAAATACGCTTTTAAAATCATCCGCCTTCATGTTTCTGTGGGAATTTTTAAGATTAATTTAAATTTAGCAAACCGTTCTTTGCCATCTTGGATGTTAACAGGCTTGACAGGCTAGCACTGGTTATACTTTTATCTTTCCACGTTTTTGATAACCTTCATTAAACCACGCCTCCTCACGATAAAAGACTTTTCTCTCTCTTAGGAGAGCTTTATTTTCTCAAGCATTTTCATCGCTTTTCCGCAAAGGGTTATGCTTTTCCCGGACAAAATTATTTTTTTTTAATGGCCCATAAAAGTTTTTTAGTTACCAACGGAATAACTCCCATCTCAGCCAAGGTCTTTCTCTCCCACAATACTTTAAACACGGTGGACTTTAGAAACCCCGTCATTCGAGAATTAGCCTGTCATTAAAGTGCCATTCATTTCCCTTCACTCCATTAAAATGGAATAATATTCATAGGTGAGTTTTCACAAATTAAATTTGATCGCATAAAGCTAACCTCAGGCCGTCGCTGAAATTGAGCGGAATTGGCCTTAATTTCCGATTTTATTGCTCCATACTTTTCCGAAATAGCCTATATTAGCCTATAATAGAAAAGGCCGCGGGCGTTGCGCGCCAGGTATACAATTCCGGCGAATCCCCGTGACCTCGTTTCGGGGGTCCGGGTGCGACCTCGCTGAGTGCTGTGACCCCGTTATCGATCGTCTTCCCGCGCGGATGACGCATCCCGAAGGATTCCCCCGGTGGCGTCGCGGCGCGCGAGGGAGCGCCCTTCTTCTTTTTATTAATTTATTAACGCGCCCGATCCTGGACGGGGGGGGGGGGGGGCGATAAACAAACGGCGGAGCGTCACGCTAAACGCTTTTAGCATAATTAAAAGGCCTGGGGGCGCGGGCCGCTTCAAAAGGTTCAGCGTCAAACGCGATCCCCTTTGGTCGCGTCTCGGAAACGTCCAGTCGGTAGTACGACTGCTAGGCGATGATGCCCGATTGTTATTTTGCGCGTCTGCGGTGAAACAAGCAAGTCCCGGAAGAACCGCTTTTATCGAATTTAGACCAATACTTCTTCTATTTCTTTAAGAACTAACCATCTTATCTTCGATCATCCTTTTGACATGTCTAAACTACTCTCGTCTTATTTGTCGACCCCACATAACTATATATTGTTTCATGATGTTATAATGTTATAAAAATTCCTCGCTACTGCAGAAAGTGTGACTGATGAAAAGACTCCTGTTTCTGCATCTAATATCTGGCAACACCTTGTCCTATTATAGATATGTACTTCATAATGCCCTGTTCTATTTCTGTTCCACACAAAACGTCGAAAAATAGTGACCAGGGTACGGACTGTTTATAGATATAAGAAAGTGACCCTTGGATAATCCCATTCAAATGCACTTTCTTATATCTATGAACAGACCATATCTTACCTATTAGGAAACTTTCAAATATTTGAACAAATTACCGCCACACAGTCAAAAGTTTTACTTTAGTGGCAAAAGGCGCGTGACTACCCTCTGCATAAGTTTCTTTCTTATATACCTGGGATTAAATCCAATACCCTTGCGGCCCTTACGAGAACCATACGGCTAAGGCTTTCAAAGTGAGTTGTTATTTGACATGCCAAAATTAATGTTGGTGGCTACTTATTTCTATCCTTTCTCCAGTTGAAAACCCCGAACGTAGCGTTTTGTTTTCGGGGATATTTTGCACCCCTCAAACGCGACTACGCGTAAAACACGCGAGTCCACCATTGTTTC